TTATATTATTATTCAATATTGAGCGTCCAGTGGACTCTATTTATTTTCCTCTTTTTCTTTTTCTTTTTACTACTAATTTTTTTTAAAAAAAAACTAAAGTGGTTGTAGCTTATTTATTGCATTTTCTTCTTTCTAAAATACACCAATATTATTGGTTACTAGTCTAATAAAAGAAAGAGAGAGCAAAGAATGGCCATTGTCCAAGGATTTCAATAAATGTAATACTTCAATTAATAAAAAAAATTCAAATTTATGATGAGTATTTTAGCAATATTATTATTAAAGGTGTTATTCCCTCTCCACAGCTACTTGTTCTCACTCCATCATTTTTTTTAATGACTAATATGACTATATTCACACGTTTCTTAATTATTTTATAATTTTAAATTCTAAAATATATCCTTTTATGTAACAATAAAAAAAAACTACACAAAAAACCATATATTTCAAGATTATTTTTTTATCTTCAATTCGTTCAAATTTTATACTTTACAATACATATATATTTTTAAATAAAATATTTTGGAGGATTTATCTTGTCAAACAAGGATTGGTATCTATGATTTTCACACTTTTTAGGTCCTAATATATACATATAATAGAAGCCATTATCACATCATAAAACAATACTAAAATATTTATAATTTGTAGTATATGATCTTCGGTATCCAAAAACTCTAGATTCATGATTCATCAATTGACGTATTCATAAAATGCAATATCTATCAACTCAATCTTAAGTTTGTAAGAAAAAAAATTAAGTGATTTGTATTTTTTGAAAATAAGGTCATAAATATTTAGGCATAATCTGCTTGTTTACTTGTATATTCTTTTTTTTTTTTTTTAAGAATATAAAAAAGGGCCATTTTAAAATTTGTTACTATGAAGATTTTAATTAATTAAATGTAAGAAATACGTACATTAATAAGGTTATTTTAGTTTCTACAATAAGCAATGGAGTGAGAATAACAGTATCCTATTATTATTTGTTGGATATTACTTTTTTACTCTTCTTTAAATACAAGATTTTATCTAAATCTTAAAATGTTGTTTTTCTTTTTATATATGTTCAAATAAATATAGTTGTATAAGCGTTGTCAATTACATGCTTGAAAATTATTAATTTCTTATTGGTTAATCATGTGATTAATGAATGAGAATAATCTCTTTTAAATTTACATATATTAGATATTGAGATTGTGTAGGTAGAAATGACGCTGTTAGGTTAGCTAGGATGTTTAAAATATAATTGGTCAAAATATTGTATTAAGTTTTAGATGAAAACCTAAAAAAAAGGATCAGTTAAGAAAATTTAAAAACTTTAAAAGTCAAATGTTTTAGTTCAAAAATTATTTTAGCATTCGTTAATAATTCAAGGAGGATTGGAGTGTTTCAGCGTTTTATATATTCATCCATTATAATTTGAAAGCCTAATTTTTCTATTGAAAATAAAAGGTTTTATTAGCAAAACGTCAAAAAAGTAAAATATAAAGAAAATAATTTTGGTATACAAGTAAAAAAAAAAATGATGTCTAAAGATTAGATTAACCTTAAGAAACACTTAGATGCTATTTGATAACAAAGAATATAATGATAAGAATGAAAATAAAAACCCCGTTATAGATATTTGATTGAAAAGAATAAAGTAAAAATGAAAATAAGGAGTCAAAATGAGACTAAAAATAAAAATAAACGTAATTTCATTCTCATAAAATGTGGTGGAAATAAAAATAAAGAATAAAAATGAGATTTTTTTTTTTTCAAAACAATGATATATTATTTACATTCTTTTTATAGCAATTGCTTCTATCACCATCAACACCTTTACCACCATTAGCAATAGTACAAACATTTTTTTTTCACTATTAAGCTCCGTTTGTTTGGTAGAAAATAACTTCCAATAGAAAAATTAATTCGAAGAAGCTATTTTCCAAGAAGTTGTTTTTCAAAAAAATATTTTCTAACATTTGGCAATTACATAAAAAAAACTATTAGAAAATATATTTCAGTATTTGTTTGATATAGAAAACTCGAAATAAAAAAATTGGTTGTGATTGTTACATCAACGAGTTTTGAGAAAACTTCAACAAGGTATATTCACAATTTCACAATATAAAATGCATTTAGAAAAAAATTAATAAATTTTTATAAATACTAACTCTAAGATTTAAATTCAAAAAATAAAAAATATATTTTTAATTATCAAACCAATTCATCAAAACTACTTGAGACAAAATCAATTCAATAGTCACATTTAGTACAAATAAAAAAAAATAAAAATTAAGTAATCCCGAGCATTGTTATTTTGATAACTCAATTACGATTTTTTTTTTTTTTTGAAAATTGAGCTAATAATTTAGTCTAAAAAATAGTTTTATAAATTATTAGTTATCATTTGTAGATAATTATTCATTTGGTTTCAAAAGATTAATTATGAAATAATTTGTAATCGATTATTGACTACGATTACCAATAAAATTTTATAACCGATTAAAATTAATTCGTAAATTATTGATTTAGTTGCAAATAAATAGTATTGAAAAAATAATGTATTTATTAATGAATTAATTAGTTTCAAATTTTTCACGAATGATTGTAGTCTTGTAATAATCATTTTCAATCATTTAAGAATAATTTAGGTGGTGTTTGGGATAATGGTAAAAAAAAATAGCAATAAATTATTGAAATATTTATTATAAAAATAATTTTAAGGTATAAAAATGGTTTTAAAAATATTTAATGTATTTATAAATCGAAAAATCAAATGTTAGTAGAAGTAGAGAAAAAATAATTAAATAATTAATAATAATTGATAAGAAATAATTAAAAATTAATTTGATATATTTTAAAGAAAAGGAGACAGAGAAATTTTTTTTAAAATATAACGAGAGAGATGTGAGTAACGCGAGGACAAGACGACTCATGAGAAAGAGGGAAAATGTTTTTCTTTTTTTTTAACTTGAAAAACAATTTCTCAAAATACTCTATCATTTTTCGTTAACCGAAAATCATTTTTTGTTGATTTTCTTTCTAAATACAAAATAAATATCGAAAAATGAAGAAAAATAGAGAAAACAAGTTTCTAGAACTTATTTTCCTTCAAATAAATACATTTCTAGAACTTATTTTCCTTCAAATAAATACGAGTCTTAGCATCGTTATTGTTCCGCTATTGCTCTTACACAACCACCACCGTCACCTCTATCACTATTGCCATCACCACCATTAATAGTTGTGAAACTCAAAATGGTCCCAAAATTATAGTAGTTATTTCATATAACGTTTAAACCTTTTATATATAATTTTTTTTAAAAAATAAGAATAAAAATTCTACCTTGTAGTCCACAATCTATAACTTTTGTATACATTATTTTGTGTGCGCAAATGATTTTGGCAGCTCAATATGTTTTTGGACTCTCTTCCTTTCAAATTCCTAACTCCATCCTCCACTCTCATACATGGTCAACCTTCCCATAACCCAGCTCCATTGTAAGCCAATCGCCACCTAAATCTCCAAAAACAAATTTTCATTTTTAATTAAAAATCAAGTCAAAAGTTCAAGCTTTCAAAATTTTTAGTTCCGATCATGTCCAAACCAAAAACTTTTTAAATGAAGTCATGTCAGAACATAAGATTGGTGTCAAGACTCCCCACATGGAGCTCGACATTTGAAGGCCATGACCTAGAATAGCAGTCGTAGGTTGTTTCTCTTCTCCTCTTTTTCTCTCTTTTCCGTTCCGCATAAAAGAAAATAAAAATCATATTTTAACCATTTTGGAGTTTATCAACGAGGTCATCTAACTTCCACAAGCTTATGCTTCTGTTTTTCTTGAATTTTAAGGGTATCCAAGTCCAAAAACCCAAACTAATTTTTCATTATTCGATTATACAGAGCAGCTGTTTTCACAAAGACTAATTTGTTTTGTTTTTGTTTTATTTTTTCAAACAAAGACTGATTTGTTTTTGTTTTCGATCTATTTTTTAAGGAAGATTCCTTTATAATAATAAAATGGAGGGAACTACAAAAACTCAAACCTTGTTCTAAATTATCCTTTCATTTGCCCTTCTTTCATCCCAGACAAGCACTAGCAATAAACTTCAGGCAGTTCCCCTTCATTCCAGCAGCCTAACTTACCTCATGTTAAGCAACGGATCCGGCGAGTACAACTGGAATATTATTAATAAACTTCGGGCAGCATTTTGACAATCTTAAAAACCATCAGAATATTATTAGTAGAGCTACAAAGCAACCAAAAGAGTAGCTCAAGACAGACAACTGGAACCGGCAGAGTACAACTAAGAACTAGCATAGGAATTACTCAAAAGGTTCCCATCCCAAACCTCAACTTTGACCAAGCAAACGAACACCAACAGCAAGCTAAACACCATTACACCAGACAACTTACATGTCAAACATCTACACCCGTAGCTTTGCAAGACAATAAGGCAATAGCAAACATGTTGGCTTCTCTAAGAAAGGACAAAAACTAATCCAATCTTAATTTCTATCTGCATTCATCCCTTATGAGTACAACCTGCTGCAAAAACTCAAAAAAGTACCAGAATATGGAACAGTAAGTAACACACAATGCTTGATCAGAGTTTAGTGAAAACTGATGATTTGAAAAATTGAAAGCCCGAAAATGAAGATCCCTCAACACAGTTAAAATGGCTGCAGAAGGTAGAGATCAACTATCAAACTCTTAATACATTTCCAGGGTCATATCCAAATATAGAAATAAATTAAGAGTCAACCAAAAATAAAAGCAATTATAATGGCTGCAGAAGGTAGAGATTAACCATCAAACTCTTAATTCATTTCCAGGGTCATTTCCAACAATAGAATAAATACCAAAAGTACAAATAAAAACACATCATTGTATCTTATCAAAGCAAAAAAGATACCAAAGTGATCGAGAAGCATTATGCTTGTATCACATATGAACTATCAAGTTGTCATACAAAATTGTCACAAAAGCGATTATAGGCATGGTTGATTCTCATGATGCTCCAACTTTCTGAGCTTTATTTGGTCTCCCAGAATCGCTTTCTCTAGGGCGGTGATGTTTGCCGCCACCTTTGTAGTATCTCCCACCCCTGAAAAGCATAAATAAAAATTTAGGAAGGCAGAAATATGAATCATAAGGGACCAACTTTATATGCATTGAAGTGAAGAACCATAATCCCCCCACTCTCATCTACCACCCTTGATTTTGGAGGGAAGAACCATTTTTGCAAGGACTGTGCCAGGCACTCTATCATCCAAATGAAGTGGAAAATAAAAACTACAATAATGCTGACCTTCCTCGGTTGCCCTTATTTTCAAAACGCCTTTCTTTTTGTCCACGGAGTTGGTTCCAGTATTCCTTTTCTGCCTCACCTAAGATTGAAAATAACAATACCAGCCCTCTCAGTGTCACTTTACATAATGCATGATTAAAGCAAATAATCCACCAATTAACAAGGAAAATACAATTTTATGACAGGATTCTACTTGAAAAAACACATCAAGACCACTTAATTATAAGAACCCAAATCAAATTGTAACCAGAGAGCATTGGAAATTTTCTTTCCACGTTTAATTACAGTAAATAAAATCAGTCAACAAATAAAGATGCATATGCAGCAAGTTTTCCTTTGTATCTTATTATCATTACTTGAATTCCAAATCCAAGGGAAATATTAGCTGCTGCATTAATCAGCCTTGGAAGAAGAAACTAGAACATAGCTAAAAAAATATGCAGTTTATGTTGCAAGAATCACATGCAAAGAAAAACATTAGTGTTGGATTGATCCGGATTTCCTAAATCCTACATCTTTCTATTTTTCCACAACAATTAATAAATTTTTTTATCATCCTTGGATGTCAAACACCAAAAGCAAATGTGAACCTAATATGGGAAACAGTTTCATGCTAGCTAGCTAGCACCTAACACAGACAAATGGATTTCTTAAAGGAATCCATACTGAAACCTTACTTAACATAAGTATCGAAAGTGTTCATCTTAAAATATGCGAAGTCAGTTTTGTTGCTCACCAATCACAGGTTCTAAAGTGGCAATGAAATTCTTCACAACCAGACCCTCTTCTTTAGCTAGGACTGCAGCTGCTCGAGCTTTCTGAGCTGCTTCTGCTTCTTCAAATCGAATATATCCTGATTCATCTCCCATTTTGAAATCAACGTACTTGACCAAAGTGATACACATGAAAAAAAAAAGTCAGTATAACACATGAAGCACAAAAGACTAGACAGCACCAAATAAATGAAAATGGAAAGACAAGGCATTCAAGATATATATGAGAGAAATGAAAACAGTGCCGAACTTCTATACAGTCTTAAAAGGAATACCATAATTCAGCAACTAAAAAAGGCATAGAAACTCATACAAAAAAGAAATAAAAAATGAGAAAGAGAGAGAATCATCGTAGTACCTTTACAGTGCCGAATCTTTCAAAGACAGCCTTCAGATCTTCACGCAAAACAACATTCTTGTCATCCTTGGAAGCAGCTGCGCTAGGTTTTTCTTTCCCTTCCTCCTTTCCATTGGGATCTTCAGATGATTTCTCCTCTCCAGTTTTCATTACTGTACTTTCAGAGCCATTGTCCCCATCAACATTTTCCCCATTGTTTTCATCATCAGTCTTAACATTTTCTGGAACCTTCTGTTCATTTTCTTTGGCTGTATTCTCTGATGAATTTGATCCTCCATCTGCTTCACAGGCATTTGCATCACCATTGGCAGATTCCTGAGCAACATTTTGTTCTGCAGAAACTCCAGCTAGCTTCCTCTTCAAAGAAAACGCAATAATTAAGCCCTTTGGGTAGCTGTCATCAACAGAAGAGAAAAATCAGGTTAACAAACATTAAGAGAGGACTCCATAGTCCCATAGGAATACATAGTAACCGTTAATTACTTACTTCCCCTCTCCATTGGAACTGTTCTTATTACTGGGGCCAGCTGAGGGATGAGAATTTTCAAATTCCTCTTCTTCTTGTGCTCTTTCTGTATCAAATTCCTTCCTGAGTCAGAAAGAGAGAATATTAGGAGCATAAAATATGGAGCAGCAACTTCTTTTTAGTTAGTTCTACAATGTGCATGAACAATATAAATGATTTTGAGTATAGAGGCACAAGGTCAGAGGCACAAGGGCGTTCTATATCTCCAAAGTTATGTTCCCTTCTAAAATATTGCCAAAAAGTCTTGTTATACCATAATTTCCAACCTGTTTACTCCCACAATTTTAACTTTCATATGGAACTCTAGAACTTAACTGTTCTACAAATCAAATCACAAAGCTAGCCAATTTCATCTAAATCAAATACAAATTTAGTAGTGATTTCTGTATGCAATGTTGATAACTTTTTTTATTTAGGTCAAAGCTTTGGCTCATCTTTCACCTCCACAATGAGAACAGAGAAACTTGCAGAAGAATAAGAATATCACTATTGTATATTTTCACGTCACCCCAACTATTTAGTTTAAAATGCTTTAACAATGGATATATAACCACAATTCTCTAATATATGTCACCAAGTATCGTATTTCAAGAGGAAGTTTTAAGTCCATTTTATATTTCTACAACAAGAGTAAAGGATAAAGAGGACACCTAAATGTTATAGCTACTTGGTATTTGTCTATGTGCATTAACTTACTTTGGTTTTATTTCAAGCTCTGCACCTTCAAAAACCAAGGTTTGCTTTAAAATCTTTTCAGCATCTTCCTCCGATGAGAACTCAATCAAAGCAGTACCACAAAATACCCTTTTGTCACCAACATGACGAGGCATCCTCACACTTGTAACCTGAAATAAGTACAACATACTCATACTCCAGGCAAAATATGCCAAATATTTCCTATATTTCCCTCCTCACATATCAAAATTTGAAATTAAAAATGCAGAACATTAACAACCAAAACAAACAGAGACCCATTCATTACCTTTGCATGTTGACCAAAAAACGACTCCAGCTCTTCCCGCTTCACATTATATTTTAATGGTGACACAGCAACTGTTCTTACATCTAATTGCTCTATAGCCTCATCTGGCTTCAATAGCGCAGCAATTCTGCCTACTTTCTTCCCTGCAAACCACCCACAATGAAAATAGAAATAGACAAAACACGGATTACACACAGATCCTTAAATTATATCCATTAAACTTAAACCCCATTCAATTAAACAAGATATTTAGCACTCTAATTTCTCCCAAAATAGCACAATCATTCCGAAAATTCAAAACCTTCTTTAATCATCCACTTTCTAAGGAACCAAACACTAAAAGAAAAGCACTCAAAAAGGAAAAACAGCTAACCATCTTCAGATACTTTAAGAGAAGAGGATTTTCTCAAAGTTTCTGCCACAGACTGAACAGTAGCTTCTGGGATTTCTTCAGGCTTCACATCCATTAACTTCAAGTAACCTTTCATCTTCTTAAACGAACAAATCAAAGCCAAACTCACCACTTTTATCTAAAGTCAAGACCAACAGCAGCAGCAGCAAAAACAATAAAACAACACAAAAACAAAACCAAACTCCACACTAACAAAAACCCCGAATTTATAATGAAGAGAAAAAGGATACGGCCATCTTCACTGGACTTGATTGCGTTTCTCAAGAAATTATCACGGGGTATGTTGCTGTCACTGAAATAAAACTCAACCTGAAAATAACGAAAAAAACCGATAAAGCAAGGATCTTATTAATGTTTCTAGGAAATTAAGAGAATAGAAGCGGAGAGTGACCTGTCTAAGGACTTCCTTAGCGGTTTCTTCGTCCAACGAAGGAGTAGCCATTGTTGTGAGGATGAGGGTAGAGAGAGAGAGAGAGGGAGAGGGAGAGGGAGAGGGAGAGAGAGAGCTTTTTGTTGTTAGGGTTTTAGTGATTATTTTGGAACTTGAGAGTGCGTTTTTGTAGAGTCGGGACTCGACAGACAGAGGGTTCGGCTTGTCTGCCTTTGCTCCACAATATTAGACTATGCTGCGCTTAAAATTAAAGCTCCGTTTGTTTGACAAAAAAAAAAAAAACAAATCAGGCAGAAAAATCAATTCGGAGAAAGTTATTTTTTAATATTTGATAATTATATGAAAAAATATTAAAAAATATATTTTAGTATTTATTTTATGTAGAAAAATAAAATACAAAAATAGTTTTTTTTAGAAATTGAACTGATAGTTCAGTCTAAAAAATAGTTTAACAAATTATTAGTTATCATTTGTAAATAATTATTCATTTGATTTCAAAAAATTAATCTTGAATAATTTGTAACTAATTATTGACTACAATTACTAACAAAATTTTACAACCGATTAAAATTAGTCACATTATTGATTTAGTTACAAATGAATAGTATTGAGAAAATAATATATTTATTAATGAATTAATTAGTTTCAAATTTTTCACAAATGATTGCATTTTTGTAATAATCATTTCCAATCATTTAAGTATAGATTATGTGTTATTTGGGATAATGGTAAAAAAATAGAGATAAATTATTAAAATATTTATTATAAAAATAATTTAAAGGTGTAAAAATGATTTTTAAGAATATTTAATGTATTTATAAATCAAAAAATCATAATTGATAATAAATAATTAAAAATTAATTTGATATATTTTAAATAAAAAGAAAATAGAGAAAAAAATTGTTAAAATATATCGCGAAAGAGAGAAAAAGAATGTTTTCCTCTTTTTTAACTCAAAAAACACTTTCTCAAAAATATTTTATGATTTTTTGTTAACTGAAAATTATTTTCTATTAACTTTTTTCGTAAACGCTAAACAAACATCGAAAAGTGGGTAAAACAAGTTTCTAAAACTTATTTTCTCCCAAATAAATACAGCCTAAAAGTGAAATTAGTGGAAAGTGCAAGAAAAAAAGAAAAAGAATAAGAATAATTTTTTTTCTATTATTAATTTTTTCCAAAAAAAATTACCCAAATTATTTATCTACAAATTTTAACCAGTGGACTTATTGAATTTATTGGTAGATTCACTAGTGTAATAAATGAAATATTTGGAGAGGTGAATTTGAGAAGTTAAAAATTATAGCATTTTTTCAATGCTACAAAGAAAAACCTAAAATTGGACTTTTTATATTCTAGAAACATATTTTAGTTTCATTAATAAGTACAATAAAGCTGGGAAATTTATGATGAAATCCATTTGAAAAGGGAAGTTACATTTTTTTTCCATCTAAAATAGCGTGTAAATATTTGGAAATATCAGAAGTTTTTAAAATTCCCGTGATAAGAGATTTAATGTTTCTGCATAAATGTTTGGTATAGATTTATGGGTAAAGATGTCAATTGACTGGGTATAAAACAGGTTATACCCATTAAAAATGTCTAATGGGTATTGAAGTGGAAAAAGATAAAAAAAATACATACATACTAATATAGTTTCAGAATATGAGTATCCACTATTTACTCTATTACTACTCATTGATTTATTTATTTTTTTTATTAACATACAGAGATTTAATTGAATAAAATTTAAAAATTAAGAACCAAAATATTTTTTTAAAAAATTTTGAGGGCCAAAAAAACTTATAAATAAATGACCAATATTAAAAAAATAATAATAATTTTATAGGCAAAAGGCTTTTCTTTAAAATTATATCGACTAAAATGAAATTTTTGAAATTAAATTTAGTAGGTATTAAATGGGCGGGAAAACTAATATGGATTGGATAAAAAATTATATAATGATTTCTTAATGGGTAGTGGATAAAGTATTATTTTTATGGATGTGATAAAAAATTAGATTAATGGGTCGAATATCCATCCATTATCATCCCTATGTGTAAAAAGAGGGCAAAAATGCCATATTGCAATCTCCCAAAACCTGGTATAGATGTGTGGGGAGTTAACTTTGTCTAAATTTAAATTTATTAATGATAAAAAATTATATATTTTTTGTTAACCTTATGAACAAATGGCTTGTATTCAATTTAACATTAAGGTGTTGTTTGCCTACTAGAAACGAAAGATCAAAATGAAAATACATAAATCAAAATAAAGATCAATCAAAATGGTGTTTGTATTTTCATAATATGTTTAGAATAATAATAAAAAATCAGAATAAAATTTAAAATTTTTAATATCTAGTTTTTAAGATGAATAACAATAAAGATTAAAAAATAATTTTTATCAATTATAATGTTCATAAAAATGATAAAGATGATTTAAAAATGATAGTAATAGTAGTATGATAATAATAATTTAAAAAATTGATACTACTAACATAGGAGGCAACAATGGTGGTGATGGTACAATAAAAATGATGGTGGCAGTGGAGAAGAAATGGTAAGGAATAATAATAATCATAAATTCAATTTTTTTTTATCATCACATTTAATAGTGGTAATGATAGTAGCGACGACAATAATGATTATACAATTAAAATGATGATGGTGATAAAAGAATGATGATAAAATAATAATAACAATTTTTTTTATTGCCACCATTAATGAGATGGTGGTGATCAGAAAGGTATTGATGATAATAAAATTAATTGATACACAATAAATAAAAATAATATTCTGTTATTTTTAATTAAAAAATTATTTTCATTACTTATTTTTATTCCCACCTCCCTCATGAAAATAAAAGTATATATTTAATTTTAATGCTCATTATTACTTCTTCTTTTTTTCAATCAAGTACCTATAAAATAAAAATAAAATTTTCATTCATATTTCCAATGTTCCATTACAAACAAAACCTAATTACTAAGGTGGTCAGTCGTGCTTGGGTCACAGACGGTGGGTGATACTTCCTCTTATCTTACAAAACATTCCGTTAAGCTGTCGTAGAAACTCTCTTTGAGATTGCGAAGCGTATGGTTTCTTGTGTTTGACTTTGAAGTCCAAAACAGCATGCAACTGGCAAGCGTCTTTTTCTAACCGTCCTCTCCTTTCTTGAAAAACAAAACCTACAAATAGAAAGAAACTCATTGGTTATGCCTGTGTATGGAAACTGGAAATTTTATGACCTAATCTTTGCATGGATCTATCTCTAGTCAGACTCAAGTTCTCACGTGGAAGGGTGAGAGGAGCCATGATGCACCTAATAACTCTGCAGACATCCTCAGCTCTCATGATCAAACAACCCCCGAGATAACAGGAAATTATGCACAAAGATTTTCAGAAGTTGATATGCTTGTTCTTATTCTCCAATAATTGATCACTCCAATCTCACAATTAAAAAATAAGACATGACAACCCTTGTTTTCTGGGTTGTCAAACTTTCTATCACTGTTTCTAAGATGCACTGGTACGTAAACTCACAAAGAATTCATCTAATTCAATCTCCACTTTTCCATTTGTAAACTGAAAGGATATGCCCGTGACGCTGAATACAGCAAATCAGACAGTTGAGCATTCTGTTGTGAATCAGTCAGCAAATGGCTGACCAGAGAAAGACGACAATTGTGATGACTTGAAGATGACCTGAAAACCAACAAATCAACTATGAGAAGGGAACCACCTGTAGGAATAAATTGCCACCATGTCAGGTGATTAAGACCGAAGGCCAGTCGGTCATTTCTTGAAACCCTTGAAGAGTTAATGACATAAAATTTGATCAAGCAATCCTCAAAACCAGAATACTGAAACTTCAAAGGATCAGAACTTATTCTACATATTCATATAAGCATGCTTTTGTGTGTATGTGAACAAAGACAAACAAGCTTCAAGAAATCTTGTTGCAGACACTACATGGCAAGATTAATAACTATGAACTGCGAAAATTGATGTCTATCACACATTAACCACAATTAAGTTTTAACCATGTTTGTTTACAGCAGTCAAGTAATTCCCCATCCCACAACCCAACCCAAACTCAAACCTCCGCTCTCCTCCCTCTGCTTGGCATTACACATTTCCTTCCCAAAATTAAGAAGTTTATTCATATAATAACTTGAGTTACAAACTGAATGACAAGCCCTCCTTTACGGGGCAGCAGGTTTGGCGGAACCTTTAAATACCATTGTTTTACATAAAGTCGTCTTCCAGCTCCTGCAAGGACTTGTTTTCAGATGCTATTTGTTTATTAGATGTCATCTTTTCAGCCACCATCAAACCCTTGTAGCTCCTCGTCTCTGCCTGTCTCTCCTTTTCAAGCCTATCCATTTCCTCACGTCGTTTCTGCAAAGACAAATTTGAGATTTTTATGCACTTTATACTTGAATCAATAAAATGGGGAAAAGATAGGCTCCAATCGGGGTTGAAGGGCTCCATCATATCTCCTCATATGGCAGAAAAGCAGGGCTCATACTCTCATTTGCTGGCACTTCATTGATTAGCAGACGCAAGGATTTTAATATCATGGAAGAAATTATATTTTAACTATTAGAAAAACGAAGCAATAAACAGAGAATTAGCCATCTCCCACAAGATGAAGAAGAAGACTTAACTATGAAAGCACAAAAAGAGACAGCAAAAAATAAGAGCCCTCAGAAAGAGAGACTCCTGCATAACCCCGGGAAGCATAACAATGAAAGGAGACTAGAAAAACAATTCTATCCCACAACAGCGGTTTGCATACAGAACATTTCCAAAGATTAAAGCATTCCTTTCCTTCCATGAGCACAAAATAATCAAAAGAAGACCGCACTTCCAGAACAGCTAGAAATTATTAAACATAATAAACTGAAACCACACCCCGAGAAACAAGATGGAACTTTCTAGGCCGGAGACCAGCCAACCTGAGGATCCCAATAAAATTTGAAGAGAAGCTTCACTCAGATGCATAGAAAACTTGAAACTGACAACTAGGAACTGAACAGGTGTCACACAACTAAACAACTAACCAAAGAACATGAACATGGAAGATGAGAGCATGTCCCTTTTTCAGCAGTACTTGGTTCAATAAAATAGCTAAAAGAGCAACCAGTATACATTTGCCAGCATTTAAATGCTACGAGAAGATATAAATCCTAGGGACATTTAAAATTGTGATACAGCCAAATTCTAGAAACATAACAGCTTGCAACCTGCACTAAGGACATTCAAAGTGGTGATATCGCTAAAAAATTTGCAATTAAAAGATGAAAGTGTTCATAACATAATATATAACAGGCTGCAAGTAAAGCTAGAAGAAGATTCTAAATGTTTGCACAATGTTTGGGATCATTGGAAGCATATGCAGTATTTCTTACATTCTTTTAGATAAACTGTAATGGAGTTTTTTTTAATATCAATCGCATTGTCACTAAAAAATAGGCATCAAAAGATCTGATAACTGTCCTGGTGCTACAAACAGAAAGCAAAAGGAATGTGTTCTTCCCAAAGGAAATTAAATGGAAGAGTACTCAGCATGGTTGGGCCACTAACTTAGCATGCCCAAACTGACATTGCACATCCCAAAATTCAAATGCAGGCTAAATAATCTCAACCATGATAAACCACTGCAACTAAAAGACAGCCACTTGAGGACATAAGGAGAGTCCGAATCTTATAGAGACTAAACAAGCAACAAGGTCAATTGAACTCCCCAGTGAAATCGTATCCATAAGAAGAGAAGGACAAGAGGGAGGAGGAGGCCAAGGAGAAGGAAAGGTATCCTGCCTTCAAAGTTAGAGTGGAAAAAACTAGATTAGATTCCTAATAGGTCTATTTTTATCAGGTATAATTCACATCTGTACACCTGAAACAAAATCAGTGCCATCATACCTTCTTCATGCCAAATGCATAAGGCTGTTGTGTTCCATGTTACAACTCCAAATCACTTGACCTAATACTCTAAATCACTCGACTTAATGATTTAAAACTAGCCATGTGAGAATAGATAGAACTCACTTTATCTCTCAGATGAAGCTTTCTCTCTGCTCTTTCTGCTGCACTGACTGCTTCTCTCTCAGCTGCAATGGTAATAAATAACTATTAGCTTCATCAAGGCAAACAAAAAGAATTTATAGAACTCAACAACTAAGAAATAGAATAGAAAACATTGCTACTGGAATTACTAAAGCACTCAGTATATTTTGTTCTGTGCTTCAAATAAGGGAAGAGCAAATTTTAAAGTTCCCTGCCTTCTATTTATGGCTCAATAGGTTTTGTAATAAACTAACATGATAGGCTGAGATCAAAGGTTTACCTTTCAAATCAGGCTTTCTTTCCACCTTTGTTTTGTTCAATCTATTAACTATCTCATTTATCCGCTTCTCCACTCTCACAGTTCGAACCTGGATAAAGTATCAAAATCAGAGAAACATATCTCATTCATTTGCATGCTCATTATTGAGCTAGTAAGTTGTAAACATAGACTACACAACAAAGGAAATCACCATCTTCGAATTGTGGAAGCCGACTTGGCCTACATCCATGGAAGCAGTTTTCTTCAAATTGGCCCAGGGAGTGTAAACAACATCAATGTTGTTCACCTTGTTGCCTGCAATGTGAAAGAAAAGCGGCTTCAACTACTACGTCATCGTAACTATGTCTCCATGTTCAAAACGAAAAATTCAATACTTTGATTAAGGCAATAGTTGGAACTTTCTATTACTAGACAAACATTGAGCTTGCTATTTAAAATCAGAAACTACCAATCCTCAAGTACACAAGGGAGAAGCTATTTGGAAGGCCGTAGAAGTAAGTATACACAAATAATTGAATCATTGCAAAAATAAGACGCAAGTCAAAAACTTTGCCTTGGATTGAATTTGCTTTGACAAGCTGCGCGCAATCCTCAAGTACACCTTCGCTTATATCATCGATTGTCTGACCTTTATGGAGCCTTAAATAAACATGGGCAGAAGACATTTTGTCCACATGAAACCTACAACAAAGAAAAAACCCATCAAGAAAAAACTCCTCCTTGTTTCAAACAAACCCAGATAATGAATTTCCAAACCCCTTCCTTTCATGACCCTATTCAATTACATGGGCTCTTCAAATAGAGAAAACCATCACACTACCTTCTCGAATTACTCCCTACCCACTTACAAATTATGACCCTCTTCACCATCTGTTATGATTATAAGATCAATGAAGAAAAATCACACACAGACAGAATCTTGATCTTCTAAAGCAACATAACTAGTTAAATTACAATGGGCCAAAATAAATAAATAAGCAAAGTAATCAAAAAATTAAAAACCCAGATGGAAAAGATAGCAATTTTGAATTGAATTAGCAAGAAAATGAAAAAAAAAGCACCAGATGTCTTCAGGGAAACCATATTTGATAAGCTCCTCGTTCTCGTACTTGTCAAGACCCATAAAAATAGTGTAATCTCCTGCCTCTGGTCTGGCTTTGAAGTAGAACACCATCTTTCTTTCGATTTTTTCTTTCTTTCTCTTGTTGAAACAACAGAAAATTCAGAATAATTTCTGTGGTTTTGATTGTGATTGGTTCGTGTGTTTTTTTTTTTTTTTTTTTTTTTTTTTTTTTCAAAGGCTGCTTTGCTTTGTGTTTCTTTGTTTGTTTTGACGGAGGGTTTGCCTTTGCGTTTGGGTGGATTCGTAGACAACCTGGGCGTCTTTTAAACGCTGTTTGAGTACAATTTTGTCTCAGACAATTCAAGGAGGTGGTGGGCCTTTCAAATAAGGCCCAAATCAGGAAGGATAAAAAAAAAGAAAAAGAAAAAGGAATGTTCAAGTTAAGATGCTATTTTCGCTTTTCTCTACTGTAGAATATTTTAAATTTTATTGTCACCGTGGTTCAAGTTAAGGGTTAATATAATTGTAGGGATATTTCTATTTTTCTTGTTTTGTTTTTGTTGTATTTATTTATTTTTGTTGTTTTAAGTTTGTCTCTCTATTTTTTTGGTCCTAAGCTCTTTTTTTTTGTTAATTTTCTAGATTAATAGTATTAAATAGCATCATTAAATCCATAGGATTAGCATACATGTCAATTTTTTTTTCATCTTAATTCAGTCTCTCCACTTTTAAAAAATATTAAAAAATGAATTAAAAAAAGTAAAAAAATGAAGATATATATGATAGTTTTCTCTAAAAACTAAAAGCAAAATAAAAAAAGGTGAAGATAAAAATATTATTTATCCAAAATATCATTTATGTGTATTGAAAAAGAGAGTTAGTACTATAATTTTGTTAAGATTTTTAGAGAATTTAAATTTTGTTATAAATTTTGGGCTTTTTTTTTCCATCTCTACGAATAGCTCTAGTATAAAAAGACACTAAAATTTATATTCTCATTTTTTAGTCAAATTAAGAAATTTATAAAATCAAAATAATAAATTCTTTTTAGGTATTTAAAATTATAAATATCATTCAAAAATTTTTTAAAAAAAATTAACGACTAATAATGCATATCAGCAAATATGGATTAAATAATAACTTTCAAAATAGACAACTTTCTTTCTCTTGTGTTCAGTTTTCTTAAGCATGAAATGATGTAGTTTTCTTTGCATGGTATTTAATTGCAGGAATGTATTATCCAGTTAGGAGTGTTACCATGGCCGAGCTTCCACTTAAGGCCAACAATTTCATTTTTCCATATTGCCGACTACGTGGGTTTATTGAATTGATTCTTTATAATTTGGATATAGCCCTAAGTACAAGTAGGGGTGAATACTGTCCGATTAAAATTGAAAAATCAAACCAAACAAAATCGAATTAGCAATTTCAATTTGGTTTTGTAGAAAAAATTTGAAAAAAAAAAAACTGAAGCTAAAAATCCAAATTATTTTGATTCAATTTGTTTTTTTTTAAATTCGATTTTCATCAAAAATCGAATTAGTTTTTTTTTTTTTTAACACACACCCAACCCAAGACTCTTATCAAAACTAGTATGTTAGTATTTGAATTCGTAATCTCTTGTAAAAGACCATTGCCATTAGATTACAAACTCTTTGATATCGAATTATTTAGGGATGAACACTATTTAAGCTATTATATCCTAATTTTTTATAGACGAGAAAACCACTCAGATTTTGGTCGTAGTATTTTTCTATAATTGTTTTTTTGCTAAAACTTCAATTCAAGCTATTAACATTCCTTAAAAAATTCAAAAAATCGTGTTTAACCAAAAAAACCGAACTTAAATCGAAAAAGATAAAAAAAATTGTAAGGTTTTTTAACTAAAAAACTGAACTTCAATTCGATTCGATTTTTGTTTTAGTTAATTCAATTAATCAAAAATCGAAAAAAAAACCAAAATCGAAATTGGATTAAAAAATCGAATAATCATCCCTAGACCTTGCCCTGGAAGGAGGAAGTGCCTAATTACACCTTCTCCTTTGTACGATGCTCACGAATCCAATTTCTGGTATTTCATAAATTTGATCTCTTTGCAAGGGATCGAGTTTACCTTCTCTTGGTGTTTTATCAAGCGATGAATCCATTTTCTTCTCCACACTATACGCATCCGCACCAGACTCTTACTGTGGTGATTTATTTTTTAGAGTAAAAAAATATAAGTTTACACATCATAAGTTTGATAAATTATGGAAATAAATCAAACAATCATGTAATTAGTGAAACCTTCCAATTATATCAATTAGCATGTATCAGTAGAGCATATGTTAAAAAAAAAAAAAAAATCCTTTTTGAAATGTTTATATTTACACTATAGTGTTACTATTATTAAGAAGTTATTACTATTAAATCCAATCGATACTACCGATTTAATTAGATTTGGTTCAATTTTCTATATATAGATATTCTCTATTTGTGCGTATAACCCTATAAACGTAGATATTCTACGTAAAGTGATATCATGTTTTATATAAAGTAATATAATTTTAGTTGTTATCCGTATATGTGTACATTTTTTTGGTAACACATGCAGTCCAAGATTGAACATTTTTATCCAAATATTCATATTATTTATCCAGAGACAACAACGTGCATTCTTTTTATTTTTGCAATATATTAATGGATGGTGTTATTCTCACTAAATTTAAATTGTTAATTCCACATTCCATTTTTTTTTTTGAAGTACCTAAAATTCCTTTTGTTGCATTTCTTTTTACATTTAAAAATTTATATATGATGTCAAATACCAAAAGGTCTATATAATAAATGATATTAAAACTTTAAATAAATTTTATATCACGAGTCAATTTTTAATTTGGATATTTGGTTAAAATCAACTTTTCATTTTACCAAGATTTTGAGTTTTTTTTTTTTTTTTTTTTTTCAGAATTAAACTTTTGGCTTATATCAACTATCCATCTTTTTATGGAATATTATTGCTTATTCTGATCAGAACGATGTAAATAATAAAAAAATTGTTATTATTATACAATATTGTAACATGATTTTTATTTTTTCTAGTTTAATAGTCATGGGTATTCTCAAATTAATTTTTCTAATTCTACCATTTCGTCTAGGAGTGATAAAATCCTTGAAAGACTTGGTGATATTATCACTTGAGAGGAAGAAAACAGTGGGACATTGGTCTCTTGAATTGGCTTTAATATTTCAACTAGTTCATTCAAATTGGTAGGACGATAATGGTTTTCTGCAAGCTCCTTATAGAGCTAGCCTGGAACTATTGTTTAAGCACTTGAAGTTTTGGGAAAAGATATATATATATATATATATATATATATATATATTAAATGCAATATTCTTTCTATTAATGGTTCTAGGAATTCCTTTCATATTTTTTACTCAAATCTATTATAATCATAGTGATAATTTTTTTTTTTGATATATTATAAAAGAAAAGTTAGGCATTGTCAAAATGACACAGAAATATATATATATATATATATATATATATATATATATATATATATATATATGTTTGTATATTATTTAGAAATTGTATCTAATCCAGTCGTGGATAAACATATTTGGTGGCAACGTTGTTACTTAACAAAAAGTTTAAAATCTTTTTCATGTAGTTTTGAAAATACAATGTCAACTAAATGCAATTTTATTATTTAACTTCTAATTTAAAAACAAATATTGTAATAAATATTAACGACAAACTTGAACAACCTTAGTGGTTTTTCAAAATAGACAACACTTTCAATTACTATTGTTGTCTTACAAAAGAAAAAAAAAAAGATTTTTCCTCATAACCAAGCCTATCTTGGTGAGACTGGGAGGCAAATGTGCTGCTTATCTTTTGAAACGAAGGCTGTTGTTAGAAATCAAGCCTATCCTGGTGATTTTAAAAAAAATTAACAAAAAGAGAGCCAAGTTCAATCTGGAGAGTGAAGAGATTTTTTTCCCCGCTCTTAACATCTCAACTGGGAATCAAGAATCAAATGTCTTTGATATGAAACGAGTTTGTGGTAGGTTACACTTCCTCCGCTTCCACTTCATATTAATCGGTTTTAAGTACTTACGGATTCTCCATCAATGAAACAAAAGGTATCTTATAATCACAACTAGTCATAAGAAAAAGGATAATTTTCTTCCTTTTTTTCCTCTAAAATCATAAAATCTTCTCAATGTTAATAAATTAAACCAATAAAAAACTAAAATTATAAAATCGTTTTAGATTTTGATGATTCGTGAAAGACTCGTCTAATAAAGAATCGTCTAATAAAGTTAAAAACCATGGCTCACAAAAGTAGAATGAGGGTTTTGGAACTCAATAGGAATACTGAATGATTTTTTTTGCACTGAACACATATAAAAGAAGTTCTTATTGTTGGATGAGAGACTCTCTAACAATCAACTTAGAGGTCGAAAAGTAACAAAATGGCTTGAAAAAAACTCTTTTAGAGAAAATTTTTAATTCTATGTAAATAATTTGTAGATGAGAGGGAATTACTTACAAAGTAGAACTTGTTTAGAATTTTTTTAGAATTCTTTGTTCTTTGATGATTTGAGTCTTTATACAGGTAATCGGGGATGCAATTTTCATCGTGAAACTATTAAAATTATTGTTTTTATTTAGCATTATTGATTGAGCCGATAAGTGATGATGCTCTATTATCATTATATCTGATTTGTAATTATGCTAGTGTTATCTTGATGAGCGACGATTTAATTGGTATTATTATTAAAGAATTTTCATTGAATGCTTTATCTCTGCTCGTGATAGCGGAGAAAAGTGGTGTCTTTTTTTTTTTTTTTGAGTTAGGTGCCTCAAAATAGGAGGGTTCCTAAGCTTTTCGTAGAAAGCAACCTGCCTGGTAGAAAATAGCCGGTCACTTGGGAAATTTGGACTCACCTGATTTGATATCGTCATATATGGTGACTTATGGGCCTGAGTTGGACTGGACGAATTTAGCGTTATGAGCGTTTGTGGGCTTTTCTTGTTGGGCTGCACAGGTCCATAGGCCTATCCCTATAAAAAATAGTTCTCGAATAAAATTAAAATCAGTGCGTTCAAGTTTGTAATAAGTGTTAAATCTCACAGTGGAGATCAAGATTTTGTTATTCTGTCGACTGGGATCAGCAGCTTGTCCATGGAGTAGCAAGATTTTGTTCATCTTCTTTGAGCAATCATATCAGAATGGTGATTTCATACTTCCTATTAGGTCAGTGGTTGGACTCAAGTTTATGGTAGCATTCTCTCATTTACTACCATCAGAAGCTCCACTCTCACAATCCGAGAGATCACTCATGTTATACAAGTCATTTCTGAAAGACGAAACACTTACCTGAAGCTTTTTGATGAGTTGCCAAGGTACTGAATGTCCAAGCTCCAAAGTGATAACGTTGAGATTATATGTATATATGTGATGTGATTTATACATAATTCATGTAAGCATTGTTTGTTTCTCTCTCGGTTCTAAATTTCTTTGTTGGAGAAATTTTGTAAGCGTAGACATGAATCCCTTCTCCTTCTCACCAAGGATGAGTAACCCAGTACTATTAATTTGGGATATTTGGATCCTAAATTATTATTTTCTACACAAATATTATCCTTTTACTGTCATCTCTAACGGTCGAAACAGACACAGAACAAACTTCAGAATACAAGGTAGAGGATCTTAAATTCAAATTCCATTGTAAAACATTTTACTAAACTTCAGGATACAAGGTAATGTCTCATAACACAACAGAAACAAAAGAGGTCTTAGATTTAACATCCAATGTCGTATGAGTTTGGATCTGTAGTGAGACAGAGTGCTCTCCTACCTCAGTATGTCTCTAGCATTTCAAAGAAGCGCAGTGAGCTACTGTCAATCTGAGCTGGGGTGGTTTTGTAACATTCATGACTCATTAACACAAATAACCAGCAAGTTTTTGTTGTGATCACTAATTAATTCAGAAAATCAACTGAGGTCATTGGTGCCATTTCAAGAACAATCGTTCCCTCTTGTTCTTGAATGCCAACGAAAAGAAAGGTGAATGACTTTGAAAGTTTAATTGCCAAACATGTCAGTATTCAATCCTTGCCAAATAACTTTTAAATATTCTAAGCACTGTTCATTTCAGAAGACAAACCCCTTAAATCACTCGCGCCCATAAAATCTTCTTCGACTTCTGGAAAATATAAAATCATATTTCTTAGGTAAACTTGCTCCAGCAAAACCCATATAAAATCTACTGAAGTTTCAACCAATTATAGTATAAAGCATGCATACACTAAAACATGCAAGAACCCAACTAATCATAACCCCTAACCAGCCAGTTCAGTTCAAGTCTAAAATCTACAGAATCCACAAAAACAAATTGCCCAATTTTCCTCATTTTCAGAGGATACAGCAAAAGACAATAGCAACAATAACAACATGAACAGATTAACAAAACATCAACAGAAACAAAATAAAATCCAAGTCGCATTAAAAAAAACCTCAAGTCTCCAAATATCCAAAAATAGATAGCATGCTAATAGCATCGAGAAAATAGCTAAATCGTCCTTGTGATAACCAGACAAACCAATTAATCCACACTCTGCATGATATCTTCAGCAGTGAACTTAGTGCCCTTCTCTTTGTCTCCAACAGTCCGCCCCTTTGCCTTGCGATCCAACAAAGACTTCCTATCCTTATCAAGCCTCAACTTTGTAATAACAACCTTGGATGGGTTGATACCGACATTAACTGTCGAACCGTTCACTTTCTCGCGAGTAATCCTCTCGATGTGGATGACCCACTTTTTGCGATAAACTTGAACAACCTTGCCCTCACGTCCTTTGTAGGTCCCACGAACAACCTGGACTTCATCGTCCTTGCGGACTGGCATGGATCGGACGTTGTACTTCTGGCGGAGGTCCGTGGAGAGCGGGGCGCTCATTAAGATCCTCCGCACAGAGGACGGAGCCGTGAAGTGGGCCTTCCGGTTCTTGCGCCTGGAGGAGGACACTCTGGGGTTGTACTTCATGTTGGCGGTTGTTGTTCGGGGCCGCGCTGCAGGCTTAGGGTTTCTGATAAGGGTGGCTGCAGACGAAATGAAAAGGCGAAGGGATGATATATATGGTGGAGGCATGGAGGACTAGGGTTTTTTTTTTTTGTGTTTTCTGGTGGGTTTTTAGGGTGGGCCTGTATGAGTGTATTTGGGCTGGAATTTGACTTGATTGTATGGGCTTAATTAGCTTTGCAGTTGGGGTGCTAGAAGAAAACAAAACAGCCCAACAAAATAGGAGAGAATGTTGGGCATGGGCTTGTAGTCCTTTTGGATTCATAGGCCGACGTATTTCTCTCATGATTTTGTGCTGTTTTGATCAGGCTTCCACTCTCTCCTCTTTTAGCAAAACAAAATTTGAATTGGAATTTCGGAAACGATTCGAAAAATTGCCGCTCCAAAATTCAACAGAAGGATCCTTCATAGTTTTGTTCCTTCACATTTTCAATTGAATTAGGATTTCCTTTCTCAAATTGATTGCTTAATTTTTACTTTATTATGCTTCTGCTTTAAGATCTGTTTGGCACAAAATGGCCAGACGGAGAGTTAAAAAGACGGTAAAAGAATCTGCCCCAAGTAAACAAGAGAACCAGCCCCAAATTGAGGAACCCAAACAATTCCCATTAATCGACCAAGAAGGTATCTTTTTTCTAGCTTTTGCTTCATGCGTTGCTTTTATTTATTTATTATTTTTTTTCAATTTTCCATTTTGTTAAGTAATTAGTGGTGAATAGAGGGGAATGGAATTGGGCTTTCGTTGAGAGTTATGAACCCACTTTTTTTTGGGTTGATTTTGCTTAATTAGCTATTTTTTGGGGAAAAAAAGTGTGATTTGGGTTAAATATGGGTTTGAATCTGTTTTGTGTAGTGGAGCGTCAAATTGCGGCAATTAGGGCAATGCGTGATGTGGGAATCGAGCATTTGCTAACAGAATTGCGGTTGCTGCGCTCGTATTTTAGCAAGGAACAGCTGAAAACACCTGTTTTGCAGTTTTTCAAAGAAAACCTGCCTAACTTGTCTATTGAAGGAAATGAGGAAAATGGAGAGTTTCTTGTCAAGTGGAATGACAATGTTGATGATTTATCCGATGGGGGAAACCTAAATGCTTCCCTCTTCCGTCGTTTGTCCTTGGCCTATCCTGGTTGTTCTGCAAACTTATCTGTTTGTCGTTTGGGATTATCAACCGATGCAGGTAAAAAAAAAGGAGAATGGAGATGGGATTTTGTTTTTATTGTTGTTTTTATTGAAGTTAGCTGTGTATCTGACGTGGGTTGCTTGTTTGGTGGCAGTGAAAACAAGCATCTTTGGCGCTGCTGATAATTTGCAGATGACGGACTATGTACGTTTTATATAAATTTTGTTATTTTATGCAAGTAGAATGGAAACATAATGTTTTCAAGAACCATTTTTTTCCTTATTAGCACTCTACTTATTTTTCCTCTAAAAACCAGGCAGCACAAAAGAAGTCCATTTTTTCAGCTAAATGTCTTTCGTAATGCATTAAGCTTGTAAAAGCATGCGTTTGTAGGCCATCCAAACATCCCCTGGCATTAAAGATTAAAGCTAACTTACTTTCTTTATTATAGATCAATTAACATTCCTTTTTCATAGGTTTTGGAGGGTCAATCTGATTCTCTAATGCTTGGGATGCATGATGGTCTCCAAACTCCTGGGGTTAGTAGCTTCTCCATGGTCTTTACCTTATTTTTGTCCTCCTGTTTTTCTTTTATTAAGTTCTGCAAGAAGCACAAATGATCAAGTGGAAGACATGACTATCCTTTTTAGGTTTCATAAATTACTGTAGCTTCTATTGCAGTAGTGGCTGTTTTATTGCATGGCGTGCTGAAAACTCTTAGACCAGTCAAGAGCAGTGTACAAATTATTCATTAGTGAGAATTTTAGATAATTGTTTAGCAAATCAAATTGCCATTAGCAATTGAGTCTTTTATGATATATCGCCAGCGACGCCATTTGGGTGGAAGATTTGGAATTATTAGGATAGCATGTTTCTGTTGCACAAAAGTTTTCACGAAATCCTTTTTCCACTGGATGATAGTTCTAGTGGTCTGCTTGGCAGCTCTATTGCTCCAAATGGGCTGATCTAGAGCCTGTCTCATGGCTCTTTTCAGAAGGTTCTGATGATGATCACATTGAAGCTTAAAGAGCTTCATTCTCTCCTTTGGCATCTATGTTGCATATGGATGGCAATTCAATTTGCTTTCTCAAATTTTAAGCACCCAAAATGTTCAAAGTGACTGACATGCCTCTCATTGTTGGTGCAGGTTAGCAGTCAGAGGCTGTCCATTGGGATGACGCCAAAAACTCTAAGGCAGCCTAAACCTGGTGAAATGCTTCTTTCTGTCCGGGGTTCTCCTCTTGGTGTCTACAAGGAAGATAACATGGAAGCCATACATGGTATGCTTTTGATGCAAAAGTATATTCACTGTTAATAGTACCCTGCAAGATATGTATACATACTGTATGGATGATCATGCCCTTCATTTTGTCTCTGACTGGCGCAGTTTTTTTAGTCTGAAAACCCTTCATAAGCAAATTGTCCCTGTTTCCCTTGTATTATGTCTTACTTTTTATCCTGATGGACAAATTGCTGATTGCAGAGTCAGACGAAGATTGACGGGATTTATATCATCCAATTGGTCATTGTTTAGAAGACGCAGCACTCACCGACCCTATTGGTTTTCAAGTATTATGTGATTGCACAAACGTGTAGTGAAATGCAAGAAACTGGACCCTATTTCAATTGCTATGTATGTTTATTGATATCCTTAATTGGAAAGTAGTTTCGCCTGTTATCTGTCCTGTAAATGTTCTCACTTTAATGGACTTCATAGTTACAAGGTTGAACCTGGAATAGATATGTACCATGACAAATGAAGATTAGAGGCACTTTGTCACTAGAATGAAATTGAAAGAATCCAGCTTAAAGATGTCAGCTTCATATTATTAAAAAAACAAACATGTAAACCGAGATCAGACAGGGATCAATGAATTTCTAGCAGTTGCACACTTTACAACAGGTTATACAAAGAGAGCTGAAATTGCAGCAGCACCTCTCCTTGTTTGTGTCATCTGTAGCACAAGTTTTAGAAAGTTGAAATGATGGGATCCTTCCTTTCCCAGGGGAATGGGAAAAAAATAAAAAAATACCATGTTATATGTTGTCAATTGTGAAAGACTGTCACCAAGTTAAGGTTTTCCCATAATGAAAAAAAGAAAGAAAGAAATGTTCTTCAGGCCTTGATATCTGGTTTACAATGACAATTTGAACCAGCGTCTTCACCAACGAAATTCTCACACATTTCCCTCCTCACTCCATTCATTTCATCTTAAAAGGAAAAAAAAAATTATACACACACACACACATTAACAAGGCACTGCTCCAACTTAAAAAGTATGATATGAAATTTGTGATCTAACAAAAATGACGTAGACCTGTAGACAAGCAGCAAAAGCTAAATTCTAATTCATGTCCTAGTCTTGTGAAATGGTCTACTGTCTTTACTATTCAATCAAAAAAAATAACAGAAAGCTAAGTTCTACTCTATGTTTATGCATAAAACAAGGAAGAGCTGACAACCAATGCCATATACTAGTGTACTATTTTCTTTTCTTATGAAGGCAGTCCTACCTATGAAACTTGAACAAGCTGAAACGACTCAAAGCAACTACAATTGAGAATACAATAACTAATCACAGACAAAATATATACAAAAGTAAGCATGTAGAAAGAAACAATTGTAAATCCACACTACCGTATTCACAAGGTTTCAACCACCAATTTCAAAACATAAAAACAAGGTTTTTTGGACCTTCCCATGCATATAGCTGGCCTAAGCTTACCATAAGAAATGAGTCCAAGAAATGCTTTCATGCATCAGCTCTTCTTGAGTATAATCACAACAGACTTCACACATCTAAAGCAGAAGATCAGTGAACACCACCATCCTAATTTTGGCCAAAGTTACTGTATAGCTAAAAGCATCCCTAAGTTTCTATGTTACACTTAAAAACTACACTAAGTCAAGACTACCAATAGGATGAAAGTACTCAACACGACACAATTGCATACCGATTCATAACACATATCCCATGGACCCAATTAATACCAAGCCAAAGACCCAACTCCCTACCAAATTCCTAGACCCATCCCTGCTTACATTCAGTGCAACTACCCAGCTCCAATCTAATCTAAAACCCACAAATGACAAGCCCAAGAAAGACTCATGCTGAAGTTTCAACCAATCATACTTTAGCATTCATTAAAACATGTAAAGATCCAACTAATTGATCCCTAATCATATACAACAAACCCCTAACTAGCCAGTTCAAATCTAAAATCAACTGAATCTACACAAAACATGCCCAATTTTCCTCTCTTCAGAGGAAAAGAATTACACTTTAAGCAGTAATCTACACAAAGCATGCCCAAGTTTCCTCTTTTCAGAGGAAAAGGGTTACTCTTTAAGCAATGACAATAATAAAAGTAACAAAACCTCAACAAAAACAAAATCAAGGTCACATTAGAAGACCTTAAAGCTCCAACATCCAAAAATAGATAGCATACAGATAGTATCATGAAAATAGCTAGAACATTAAAAAAAAATCGTCTTTGTAAACATAAACTGACAAAATATTTCATTTAAAACAAACCATTTAGTCCACACTCTGCATGATATCTTCAGCAGTGAACTTAGTGCCCTTCTCTTTCTCTCCAACAGCGCGTCCCTTTGCCTTGCGATCCAACAAAGACTTCCTATCCTTATCAAGCCTCAACTTTGTAATAACAACCTTGGATGGGTTGATACCGACATTAACTGTCGACCCGTTCACCTTCTCGCGTGTAATCCTCTCGATGTGGATGACCCACTTTTTGCGATAAACTTGAACCACCTTGCCCTCACGTCCTTTATAGGTACCACGGACAACCTGCACTTCATCGTCCTTGCGGACTGGCATGGATCGGACGTTGTACTTCTGGCGGAGGTCGGTGGAGAGCGGGGCGCTCATTAAGATCCTCCGCACAGAGGACGGTGCCGTGAAGTGAGCCTTCCGGCTCTTGCGCCTAGAGGAGGAGACTCTTGGGTTGTACTTCATGGTGGCGGTTGTTGTTGGGGTCTGCGCTACAGGGATTAGGGTTTCTACTACTGGTGGCTGCAAAGAAGAAATGAGAGTGGGCAGTGAACATTTATATGGGGTAGAGGTGTTAAGACACGGGTTTATTTATTTATTTTTTGGGTGGGTTTTTAGGGTGGGCCTGGCTGAGTGTATTTGGGCTGGAATTTAATTCGATTTTATGGGCTCAATTAGTTCTAACTTTTTCCCTTTAAATATTCACTCATGTGTATATTTAACTTAAGGACTCTTCGGGTTTAAGAAGTTGATAGCGGGGCTAGGTGAGAAAAGTCACTTAACATATAACTTAACACGTCTTCAGATTTAAGAAGTGGATAGAGGAGGCTGGATGAGAAAAGTAGTCTTCAGATTTAGTGGGAAATTGTGATTATTATGGTTGATTTACTGACTCTATAGAATGTGGGGATTAGAATACACTGCGAGCTAATGATCGAACCACATGATCCATAATCTGAAAAAGACAGAGAGGCTATGTCTGCCCTTGCTGATCAGCTCGTTCGTTGCAAAGAAATGATGTTGGTTATCTACCCCAGCTGGTCACCTCCTTCACTGCAAAGAAATGTTCTTAATAATGATGTTGGTTTGTAGGGGTCTTAATGTTCAATTGCTCTTTTTTTGACAAGTGCGTTAAGAAGTTGGATTGGGTATTTTTGAAAAGTTTAAGGATTTAATTAAGTTCGACATTTTTTTAAGAGTTTCATTGAGATTTTAGTGGTGCCTTGAGGACTAATTTGGCCTTCATCCTTCTTAATGGATGTGTTGAAGAATGGTGGATTAGTTAGGAAGGAAATAGCAATACTTTGGTCTCAGTTGTCCCTTACTTTTTTATTAAAAAAAAAAGAAGGAATTCAACCACATTATGCCAAAAATAGCTGCCAGCTTGGCTCTCACTAGTTAATGCAGGTAGTTGGCGCTGCTAATGCCATGTGCAGATGGAGCATGCTAGCTCAAGAGGAAACTCATGCACAACTTCTACAAGAAGACAATAAATTACTAGTGACATAAATCAGCACAGACTTTACCAAAAAGTAGAAATTAATACTGGGGTTTGTTTTAATTTAATCTTTTTATGTCCTTAGGGGGAAAATTCAGCATTAACCAAAGAGGTAGTGGATTGAGAGCTGCCTCACTACAGGTTTAGGACAAGAGCACTTTCGCAAGCAGAAACTGGCACCAGAAACACTGGTCAGTCATCTGTGCAAATCAGTCTCCAATTCTAACCACATTTTAATTTTAAACTAATATCTCGATGCTTTGTTGCAAGCTCAGGAAGAATTGTATCCCATGTTTGATCAAAGAACATTGCAAATTTGAAATTTAGAAGAAGTTGAAAATTCTCAGGTGTATATCATAGACCGGAAAAGTTTGTAAATAATATTCTACCAGATTAAGAAAAGACTAGCAGTTTAAGAATTCAACAATCTAGTTATTAATGGAGGATAGTTCTGGAACAAGTCATTCCATTCAACAAGAACTCATCAATCTAGTTATTAATGGGGGACAGTTCTGGCGCAAATCATTCCATTCAACAAGTAATTCATCAAAAGATCTCAAATATAATTAGTGGGAAAAGATGACAATCACACACACATCAAAATCTAACTCATAGCAAGTAAACGAAAACAGTCAATACAGCAAAAACAACAATGTTCACTAGTAAAGTTTAGATTTTGTTTAATGAATGCTAAGTTTCAAACTATCCTGAAGCTTATCTTACTGTGACACATAGATCCATCCTGCATTCTTTTTCATGATGTCTGAGAGTGAATCAAAGCTTGCAACAGAGCAAACTGCTTCGAATTCAGGCCCAACCCTGCTGGGTAGGGTAACATCAGTGAAACTCTTACTTGTTGGATCATACCAGACCAAAGCATTGGAATCACTAGAAATCAACACCTCTCCATCTTTAGAAACCATAATGGGCTGGAGAAAGCAATTTTGCAGCATCGAAGAAAGCGAACTCTTAGCGATTACAATCTCTTTACTCCAAGAATCTTTGATTCCATAATCTTTCATCACCCATATGTCAAGATCATATAAAGTCATATTGTCACATATAAAGAGACGATCTCTTAGTACTCCCAAGCTCATCTCTGTTGTATCTTTCCTGAACCCATTAGGCGGTGACATTGGCCTAATCTTTTGGCTGTCGATATCTAAAGCACATATCAAATCAGGATATTCATACTCATCAAGGTTGACAATCCAATGCAGAGCTCCATTCAGAGAAACACTAAAGAATTTCTTATAAGCTGGAAACGGAATCTCTCCAATACTTTTCCACTCATTCTCTCCAAATATGCAAACTTCACCTTCCGAACGCAGAATAGTATTAGGATGAGTAATTCTTTTTCGGATTATTCTTAGAACCATGTAACGATAACATTCAGGACTAAAGCCAAACCCAGAAACCACATCTAATATTTTTTTCCCTTCCCTTTTTCCTTCTTACAGTTCGCAGGAGTCCTGACATGCTCACCTGTCATAGGACTGCAAAGGTAAAAGCTTTTCTTCGAATTTTTATCAAACAAACAAAGCAAACCATTGCACGAGCCCACCAGTTCGACATGACAGGTAGGGAGATTGTTTTTGGTATTGAACTTCATGACGTGGTTGGAACCTGAAACACCGGTTGATTCCAGCTCAACTATGTAAAACTCGTTGGGACCAAGACCTGCAGCTTTCCTGGAAACACATGATGATGGCGAGCGAAGAACAAGCATGGATTGAGCTCTTTCGCGTTGCAGTTTAGAGAAGTAAGAATCTGAGAGTAAACTACGCCAGGTCCTGCATACGCACCTACTCTGAATGATGGTTTTCAAGGGGAGTCGCATGAGAATATCCCTGGTAACGTCATCAGGAAGCATTGACATTGACCAGTTAGCATCTTGATCTTGGTTATCGCCATTCCTGCCTCTAGGTTTTCTTCCTCTTTGGCTCCTCATCATGATTGCTAGTCGCTAGGTAGCTCTGCTCCTGGCAAACTAGCTATTCAGGACAATTTTACTTCTTTTACTTTACTTTACTTTACTGTGGTAGAGGAATATATATATATTCCGAAAAAGGATTATAGAGACGGAATCTTTGGGGGCGATCAACAAAACCGCCTCAAACTTACAGAAATATGAATTGTCAAGGGAAAGAAACCAGAAACGGACCTTAAAAAAAGAATGGATCGTGGCCGAGCCGAAACACAGAGACCCAATCTGATAGGAACAGAAAAACCCTCTCTTCCGAATTTTTCTTTTCTATTCAGAGAAAGTGATAAGAAAAGTTAAAAAAGAGCGGCTGATTTGAAGTGGAGCAGCAGCAGTACGGTTTAGATTAGATCCTATGATTTGTAACAACTATTATTAACCCTTGGACGTAGAGGTTAGCGGCCGCTTAACAGCACTCGCTCTTTTTAAACCAAAAAAAGCAGATAGGAAAACGGCACTAGAACTGTACCGCAGTAAACTAGTACTCGGACTCTTTTACTTCCCCTGGGGCTTTTATGTTTATTATTATTATTATGATTTTGTAATTTTTTTTTTACATTATCAATAAAATTAAAATAAAATGATGATTCACTATTCATTAATTATTTGAAACATTATTCATTCAAACTCATTTTACTATTTACACCGACTCGGATACATTATTCTTTTCACTATGTAACGATATTTTTGTAGTTTTTAAATATTTTTTAAACATTTATTATGAAAGTTTTTATAACATTATACTTTGATCCCTCTTTTTTAAATATTTTTTGTTTGGTTTTGGTCCCTCTTTTTTATTTTATTTTGGTACTTTGATCCTTTTTTCTCTAATTTTTTTAATAAAAAAATTTTAGAAAAATTTAAAAAAAATAAAAAATAAGGTTTTAGCTAAGAATCTATTGGTTTTGACATTCTTTATGTTATTAAAAAAATTTTAGTTTGTAGATAGAGATAAAAAAATAAATTTTTTGATAAAAAATTTATGAAAATATAAAGAATAGTTAGTCAAATATAAAATTTGATTAAAAATTTATAAAATTGAATAAACTTTTATTCGTTTTTTATTTGATGGATTTTGATAGCCGTACAATATAACACGATATATCAAAATCCATGAATTTTTTAAAAATAATTTTATATATTTTATCCGAGCTAATTATCCCTTGTTGCATAGCTATGCATTTTTATCATACTTGGTTGTTGGATATCCTTCCCTCCATGAAGAATATCTTATCTTTAAGAATCCTAATATGTTTTTAATTTCTCTTATGAGAAGTTTAATAGTGAGGTCTCAAGGCTAAAGCAAGAATGGATTGTGCCACATCATATGCTACAAAAGCGATCATTAATGTCTCCCAACCAGTGTGAAGATAATTTCAGAGGTAGTGTTGGCAATATTCTAGCTTGCCATTTTGCATGGCTTGTTAAATGGCGTGGCTTTGATTATGAACATGCAACTTGGAAGTTGAAGACTGCTTCTTTCATGAGTTTACTTGAAGAGCTTTACGAGAGATTATGAAAATCGACATTTATAGGGTAAACGAGCTTAGTGTTCATCTATTCTATAATAGATAAGTTGTGCATGGTTAAAAATGAGAACTCATGTATTTAATTTTATACACTCTTTAATCCAGACTCATACTATATTCATAATTATTTTGAAGAGGAAGGAGAAGTCCTAAGTCTTCACATTATTTAATATATTTCAAGCTCTATTGATTGAAAATCTAAACAAATTGTGCTCAATAAGAGAGCTAAGCTACATGATCGTCTTTTATTTGTATTCAACAATATTCTTTTTTTTTACAAAAAGTAAAATTATTAGATTTGAAGAGTAAAAAAACTAAAACACTAGAGGTGGTTGTGTAACCATCTCTATAATTGTAAATTTTTTTAAGTTAAAGGTGGTATTACCCATCGTAAATAATTTCCTCCTATTAAAATATAAAAAAATCTCAAGAATTTAGAGGTGGTTACCAACATATTTTGTGCTAAAAATTAAATCAAGAAAAATTGACATTATAGGGATGATTTTTTTAGTGTAGGGTCTGAATATATGATTTATATTAATTTTTAATTTTCACAATTGATTGTTTAACAGCATAGGATTTAAAGATATGATTTATATTAATTTTCACAATTGATTATTTGACAGCAACCAGGTGATGTTAATGCTTTCTATTTCTATCCATCTGAATGTTGTTGATCTCTACACAGAATAATATTTATTGTTATTATATAGAGTTTGTTATAATTGTAAATTTTCAAATTAATTGCTTTAGATAATTTGGTGCAAATTGAACATTAAACTAAGGAAAATTCAGGTAAATTGAGCTTTAAACAGATCAATAACAATGAATAAAATTTCAGGGGGTTTCTCATGAATAGTTTGGTGTGAATTGAAATGGGTATGTGTTAGATTTGCAGATTATGATTGATCTATTATCTAGAAAATATGCTGTATAATTTGGAAAAGAAGGGGCAGTAGAGAAAGACATGTACACAAACTAATAGCAAGAAACCAAAGTAGTATTGGACCTGGGTGATTGGGTGTTACACTTACTTTTAGCTGCTGCTGTAATCCCATCTGCTACAAATGTTATTAAAAAAAAAAAAAAAACCGAGCTTTTCCTTATTTATTGAACCCCGATTTTTTTTTTTTTTCTATATTTTTTCGAACAGTTATGTGCAAATTATACGATTTGATCCTTTATATTTTCAATCTTTTTATTTCGATCGAAATTTCTTTTTTGGGCTGGTCAGGACCCAAGGACCGGAGAAGCAGTCCCAAGCGTGCAGGGCTAGGCTCGGACACAGGCCTGACAAGTAGGTCCAGGCAGGGCGTCCTGGCCTTGCGCAAGCTTGCACAAGCAGACTCAAGTGCGCAAGCCTGAGCTGTGTTTTTTAATCTAACAATAGATTTTTATATTTTTTTTTATCATGAAATTAGATATAAAAATTATAAAAAATATATAGTTATTTTTTTAGTTTTACGAACAGTTTGAAGATAATGAAATATATATGAGATGTTTTAAGATTTTAAGTTGAACATATATATTACTTAGTATTACTCTTATTCTTTAAAATTTATTTCTTCAATTTATCCGTTTTTTAATCCAAATTCTCATAAAATTTATTTTTTATTTTTTGATATAATTTTATTTGTTAATAAATAAATAAATAAATAAATAAATATATATATATATATATATATATATATATATATATATATATATATATATATTTTTTAAAACAAAATTTTAGAACATGATTATTTTATTTTTTAATATATTATTGTAATTTATAAGATGAATTTTTATGATTTTTAAATAAGAATAGCGTAGTTATATATATATATATATATATATATATATATATATATAAAACAATTTCGCTCATCAAATAGATTCTATTTACATTAATCATTAGAAATAAGACTTCTATCCGTATTATACTTTATAGATTGTTGATCGTACGTATGTAAGGTTGTCCGACTGCGAGTAGTGTCGATATGTAACTAATTATCCTATATACTAAAACAAAATGGTTTTTCATCAGTAACAATGAACAGTGTAAATCACTCGTTCATTACTACGATGTTTTTTTTTTAATTTTCATTAGTTTTTTTTGCCTTGACCCGTTCCCCCCAACTCCAACAATCCGTTTACTGTTCATTTGAACAGTAAACGCCTGCCCCCCTCCTTTTTTTTTTTGTAAACATTTAAATTTTTTTAAAAATTTCCATCCATTTACTGTTCATATGAACAGTAAACGGCTTGCACCTTTTTTTTTTTTTTCTAAACATTGAATTTTTTTAAAAAATTTCTGTTTCTTAATAGAAAATTTTAAAAGAACCAATAATTAATTGGGTGTTAAAATTTTAAAGAAACCAACAATTTATTTCATTTATTATTTATTTTTAAATTTTTTTTAAAAAAGAAATAGTTAAATACAAAATTTTTTATTAAAAAATTATAATTATTTTTTACCATAAAACAGATTATTAAATTGAAATAATTTTTCTAAACGATTTTATATATTTTATCCAACCCACAGCATAAAGCGAGTAAAAAATCTAATACTATATACTAAAGAAAAACTATTTTTCATTGTAGCAATGAAGCTATATTACTTTGACTTCTTTTTTTTTAAGTTTTCTTTTTTTTTTTTTGCCAGCACCGGCCTTTCCCCTCTCCTTTTTTTACCCGTTTATTGTTCATTTGAATAGTAAACGGCTTGCCCTCTTTTTCTTTTTTTTTTCTCTAAACACTATTTTTTTTTTAATTTCCATCCGTTTACCATTCACATGAACAAGTAAACTGCTGGCCTCCTTTTTTTTTTTTTCCTAAACATTGATTTTTTTTTTAATTTTAATTTCTTAATAATATTAGATGTTAAAATTTTAAAAGAACCAATAATTAATTGCGTGTTAAAATTTTAAAGAAATCAATAATTTATTTGCTTTATTATTTATTTCTAAAATTGAAAAACATAAATAAAAAATAGTTAAATATAAATTTTTTTATTTAAAAATTATAATTATTTTTATCATAAAAAATATTATTAAACTGAAATAATTTTTCTATATGATTTTATATATTTTATCCAATCCGCAGCGTAGCGCGAGTAAAAAATCTAGTTGTTAACTAAATAAAAATCTTTTGGATTCTAGAAAATCATTAGTATATATTTTACGGTCACTTCATCTTAGAAAATCAGCACTACTGTTGTTTAACCTTAGGAAATTTGTGCTACAACCTTCTATATAATATGACGAACTCCTCAACAATCAAGTGTGGTTGAGAGAGATTTTTTTGGAATGAATCAGTACTTCATGATGGCCGGACACTCCCACCTTTCATTTTGTGAACAAGTTCTTATTTTATGGAAAACTGAACAATTTTCTCCAATTTTTTTCCCATTTTACAGCTGTTATAATCATATATATCAGATTCCACTGGTGTTAAGAGTTCAAAACAGCAATCGCTGGTTTCGCTTAGCATTGGTTGTTTTAATGAACACATATCCATGCGCTCTTATCCTGTCTACATCAGCTGGTCTCCTGAGCAAAGGGGAGAGTACTATCTTGAAACACTGGGCAAGATTAAGTCCAAGTTCTTTGATTAAATTGGTAACATCACAAGTTGCCGGTTTGCTGTAGATTTCCAGTTTTCTCTTTGTGATGATATCAGAATATATAGATGCATTGCTTTACTGGTAAGGACCGGTGTTTATTTTTTGCTTTTTGTCATGGTAAGAAGTGCAGCTTTGCTCTTCACAGGAAACTGCTATTTATGAAAAGTTCTATATTTTTTGTCAAGCCAAAGCCAGAGAATGTGGAGGAATTTCAAAATTTTCCTGGAGAAGAAGGTATTCAAGGAAAATTGACTGGAAAGATGTCTACATCCAGAACAAAAAGATTGCCCACGGAGCAGGATGTCATGAGGTAAAAGGCTGCACATGCTTGCTTTGGCATTGTGATTTCTTTCAGTGTGTTCTAAACGTTTTGTGCTTTGATCTTGTAGTTCCAACAGTAGAATGCGACTTGTTGGATATCTTTACCGTGGAGCGATTCCGGTTGGGATTTTCAGTGCATCTGATAGGTGTGGCCTGTGGGACTGGGGTTGTAGAGGCCATCAAGGACCAGAAGTCAGTGCTCTGCTTAATTGTTTAAATTATGATAATGTGATCACACCTAAAAATTACTAGTTAGCTTGCATTATAGATAAAATTAAGCATGAGTTTAAACATTCAAAGGGTGTGGTAATTAAGGTTGGTTTTGCACTTTGCCTTGTAATCTTGAATGAACTGATCATTACTGCATGCATCCATTGCTTCTTGAAAGTGAAAAGAAGCCAAAAATAGCTACAAGCTTGGATATCACTTGTTAATGCATGTAGTTGCTGACTTGCTGCTGCTAATGCCATGTTCAGCTAGAGCATGCTATCTCAAGAGGAAATTCATGCTCAACTTCTACCAGAAGACTATAAATTACTAGTGACATAAATCAGTACAGATTTTACCAAAAAATAGAAATGATCTGAAATTTTACTTTCACAGCTTCTCCAACTTAGTCGCTGTTCAAACGAATTTATTTGCAGTGCCTAATCCAGCTACCTTCACTAGAACCAACAAACAAAACCCAAAAAACTTGAACAACTCAACCAGGATATAGATATTCATAGAAGGAACGCAGCAAATGACATTTTCTCTGTTCAAAATCTAGCAGACCTGGCTACATCTTCAAATCAGCTAAGCCCATTTCGCCATAAGCGACATGCCTCCTGCGCCGAGTAGAACTGCAGTAAATGCCCACACCTGAAGTCTCATGCTGTCTTGAAGTTTAGGCCCCATGAAGTCAGCTGCTAAGAGGTCCACCAGTGCCATGTAATTCAGTAATCCAGCAGATGATGCATTCAGTAGTCCCACAACAATTAGAGCTGTTGGGCTGCTCTCACTGTACACATTTGACAAGCCAATTCCTAGTGCAATTCCCAATGGAGTTGTTGTAGAGAAGAAGAACACCAGGATAGCTTTCATCTTCATTCCGTATTCCGCCTGATCACATAAAATGCAAGTCTTAGAGAAGCGTTCCACCGTACTAGTACTAGAATATTACTATATATCGGATCAAAATTTTTGAGGATTTGTACGTGAATATAATTACCTGCAAAATGCATCCTCCAAGACCCATTCCTTCAAAGAGTTGATGGAAACAAAGAGCAGCAATGAGTGGCCTGATTGTGCATGGATTGTCAGAGGCTCCCATTGATAAACCAATTACAACCGAGTGCACTACAATGCCAATTTCCAAAACCTGCACAGATGCAAAATTATTGTAAAAAGAAAAGAGAAAAATTTCATTGCATTGTTGTTAATTTAAGTCTCTGCACAGACTCAGGCTCGTAATATCATCGAGAAAAAACACTCTGTGTGATGTGGAAAATCAACTATATATACTCAAATCCTAAAAACAATCAAATTTACATAACCAATCATTAGTATAACGATTCACATGTGACTACTGTAAATATTCATACCTGAGCCACAACGCGATTCCTCAACAATATTGAATCTTTGCCATTAGCCCCACCATTAAATCCGTGGCTATGTCCAACATGTACTGCACCACCATTTTCAACATGCTCTAACACTTTCTCCCCATTTTCCCCACCACCTTTCTCATCAGAAAGACAACGTTTCTTATAGTAACTCATAGCGAAAGAATCGATCATGAGAGTGAGTAAAGCAGACAACATGGCAACAAAAGTCGTAAAAGGAAACTTCTTCCAAGGATTTATGGGCAAACAATCAGACATCAAGTCGTTAAAAGAATCCGGCAACACGTGCATGTACCCCGTGGCTAGGATGACACCGGAAGCAAACGCTTTCACCACTACAAATAAATCTCTATCCGGCATAAGTGCAGGAATCATACGTGCAAATAATGGCAAGCATACTCCAATCATGCTAGCAACCAAGATTGAAAAGATTGCAATGAGCTTTAGTTGTAAGGATTTCGCCTTGTCGTGGCATCCTCCTTCGGAACCCGAACCACATTGTTGCTGTTGTTGTGCCAATGTTGTTGTTGGAAATGTGAAAGAGAGAATCAAGATCAGAGAAATGGTGAATATTGCATTTGCATTGATTTTTGTGAAGGATGCCATTACGAGGTGGAAGTGAGTGAAGCAAAAGAGTGATATTTTCAGTTTGTTGAGAGTTACGTTTATTTATGGGGTGAGATTTAGGAGTTGGGTTCTAAGTTAGAGTCTTGATTTAAGGAGTCAAATCCTAGATTTGAATTGTTAAATGACTGAAATAACCCTCAGTAGATTGAGGTATATGGTGGAAATTGTTGTAATTTTGGGTGTAAAGTTGGATAGTTTTGAAAGAGTAAGGAAATTATGCATGGCGCTTGTCTACTTGTGGTCCAACACAGACGAGAGTGAGGCTTTCCATTTTTCTTAGTCAGATCCCGCCAGCTCATCCTTTTTTAGCTTACGTGGCTTACTTTTTATTTCTAAAAATATCTAGCTGGACAAATTGTTTGACGCAATAAAAGTCCCTGATTTTGAAAATAGAGACACTTGGAGGAATATATAAAATAGGATGATCAGTGGTTTTGTTTTCCCTGTTATCTCTTTTAATTTTTTATGATTGTTTATTTGTTATTTGATTTTGAAAAATATGTTTTGGGCTCTAAAACATGCAATCTGAGAGTTGTGAAGGAGTAATCTTTCATGTTCCTTGTTTTATTTGTTAATTTTTTAACCTCCTAACCTGAGTGTTGTTTTAAGCAGCTGACATTCGGAATTCTGCAAAGTAGTTTTCGAGTGTTGAATTGGATCTTGAAGTAGCTTAGTTTTCTGCTATTGAAGGAGTACTGTTTCATGTTGCCAGTCCTGTTTCCTCTACTACATTACCAAATCCCGAGGCAAGCATGCCTATTTTTGAATTTTTTTTTTTTTTTTATATGAATTCAATTGAATTAATTAAAATGTTAAACTGAAAGTGTGTTTAACGGAAGAGTGATGGAGAAAAATTCCATCTTGGTTAGAAGTGATTGAACCAGCTGTACAGGGCACAATGAATGTTCTCAAAGCATGTGCTGAAGCAAGGGTTAAGTGAGTTGTCGTTCTGTCCTCTGTGGTTGCAGTGTTCATGAACCCAAACTTGCCCTAGGATCAAGCGATGGATGAGAATTGCTGGTCTAACAAGAAATACTGCAGAACAACTAAGGTGAAAAACTTTGAAAGTTAGTCTTTAATGCAGGTAATTTGGTGGTGCTACCTTTTGTAGTTCCATATCACGAGAGTTCAATCCACCAATGTTTTTAAGTTTTTCATTGCTGACTATAATGCTATATATACCAGCAGGTCCATCCTGATTCAGCATTTGTTTTACTATGTAATACCTCCATACATTGATTATGTTTCCTGTTAGTATCTCTGATTCTACATTAGTTTGATGGAACCTAATGATAACTCTCCAACGAAATGACTGCAGTTTTTTAATAAATTGTGATTCATAAAATATATTATATTGTTCCTTTTGTGGGTAAGGATTGATTCATTTTGGCTCAATTCTGTTCTGTTAATAGTTAACAATATTTTCAAATTTTGATCAGTGCTGTGCTTAAGAAATGTATAAAGCATCCTCACGCTTAAGGCCTGCTCAACAAGAGATCCAAGGTGAAACTATGATAAAATCGTCTAAGAATTGGTTAGTGTTTTGCCTATGGAATGGAATGTTTATATATATATATATATAAATATATATGGTTTCTGCATATTTGAAAGCTTACTGTAAGAAGAATCCTCTGACTCTGAACTACTAATTAAGTTTTAGCTATTGTGTTGCTGTGATGCAGAAGGTGTCCTGTTGGATGGTTACTAGAGAAAGACAGTCTACCGCATTCGAAGACAATACTTGAAAACAATATTGAGACAGAGCATTGGCTTCTTTGACACTGAAACATCCACTGGTGAAGTCATTTGAAGAAGGTCTGGTGACACTATCCTCATTCAAGATGCCATGAGTGAAAAGGTAGTGTCTTCCTCCTTCTATATAGGATAGCCGCAAAGAACTATGACCGTGATACGTCGTGCTCTTTACATCTAGGTGTCTACAGTCTGTATGCTGTGCTTTTAATCTCTCATCAAGCATGAGCTGACTTTGGAATAAGAATTATTTCTGGACACATTAATGTAGATTCACCTCACCTAGCTTTCTCATAAAATGTTTCTTCCTTTCCTGGCTTTGTTTAATATCCTTGGACACAAACTCTCAATATCCTGCTCCTCAATCTAACACCTTTTGGCCATTTGTGGATATGCAGTAAGTATGCACCTATTCTAGTTTTTCCACCAGCTTTTCTTGCATGGCCTCACATTTTCACTTGCAGTAGTGAGTAGCTGCAAACTCTGTTCATTTTGAATTGTACAATAAGTTTCTTTGGAGAAAATTTTAGCAAACATAATTCTGGCAAACCGAACCTATTCTATGCAAGCTAGGCTCATTCCCTATCTTACGTTATTAATTTATAATTCAATGAATCTACTCAACTAATAATTAAACAAACACATTTAAATTCATGAGGCATGCACAACTACTTCATCAAATAACTTATAACCCACCAAGAATCGCAGTTTTGAACGAGATGAAGCTGAAAGTTATGGCTTGTGATATGCATCACAGCAGTAGCAAAGCTGATGTTTGCAATCCTTTTCAACATTTTGCTCTGAAGCATAACCCCACTTAGAAATAAAAGTTAGACGTTCATCGCTGCAAAAAAGCCTGTCCTAGGTGCTTATACAAAGATCATCTTCGTGCATGTGTTTTGCAAATATGGGTGTTGCAGCAACCATTGCCGTCCTGACAGCAGTCAATGTAAGGATTAAAACATCCGTGACAACATTTCCTACGCGTTTGTCTTCTTCCATTCAGTGAGCTGCCTCCTCCTTGGTTCCACTACTCCTTGTTGCTGATGATGACATATTGCAGTTTGGAAGCAAAATATCTAACACAGACAGAATAGATTGTTCAGCTTTGTAAGTTTTCTCAAGTTATAACACACAAGCTCATGCATGCAAAATAATAAGAGAACGAAAGCAGGCTCACCTTGTAATCTGTGTAAGAAATGCAAGTTGAAACTGAAGAGTAAGGAGGAATTTATAGAGAGATTGATTTACAGCTACCATAAATATAATAACATTTACCATAAATATTGCAATTTTTTTTTTTTTTAATGGTGCTATTTTGATTGGTGGGATGTTCAGAATTGAGTTACAGAATTTCGTGCAAAACAAATGGGCTCATAAGGTTTCCTAGCTCCTACAGCACAATCCAACCATAAACATGATATTACATTGCAATCAGCTTCAAAGAAAAAGACGACGAACATAGGTAGGGTTGGCATAACCAACATGATTGGATCTGAGGATTGAGTGGGGAGAATACATGCACATATGGCATGTTAGTATCTTATTCATCTGTTATTGTGAAGAATGAAATATTGAAATGTTTCAAACTTTCAAATATAGTTTTATGAGGTGTTAAATCGTCACCTTGATGTCTCGTGACTTCTGCTTATATTGCTTTGATCACAGTAGGATTGAATCAAGCGTTGAAAAAGATTTTGATTAGATCCCAAATTACAGGATTTTGATTGTATTTAAAAAGAATTCTAGCGTCCAAGCTTTTGTATGGTATTCTGAAGCAGATTGCCGTTACCCTGTGAGCTTATGGCAGGCGAGGCACCCAGCTTTCAAGCACCGAGCCACTGAGGCTTAGAGTTGTCACTTCAGGCAAAATTCATAACCAACAGCTCCTTAAAAGTGTAACATGAATTGAATGGTCAATCAAACCTGCTACATCTACAAAACTTGCTTCAGAAAAGTTCATTATACACAAATCACCCTTAGCTTTTCCTCCCAATCAACCATTTTTAATTGGATTGACTTGAATGCATCAAATAAATTAAACTCTGACTTGATGGTGCAAAAAAAGAAATTCCAAAAGTAAACTTCATAATTCATAGCAGTAAAAATAGCAGAGTTAGCAAAGGAAGATAAGTATTTATGTTTCAAACGATTTCAAAATATCCCTTTTCCTCACAAGCCAGTCACCAACCCTAAACCAGAATTTTTGGTGTGGCATAGATCAAGCCAAGCTAACAATTCATGGTTTTAAACATTAATTCAACATTAAAAGCACTTCCAATGACTTCCAACTCATCATATGTCTTTTGGTTCCATTTGTGAGATCTCCAAAGTGGCTGCTTCCTAGCTGACTACCATGATCCTTCAGCACCAGCAGTTGGATTCTCAAATGCCTGGAATCCCCAGAATGTCTTCAATGCGTAAGGCTGTGAAATTGTTACACCTTCTTCAGTAATCTTAGCTATCTGCAATTGGGAAATCGTGAACTTGTCAGATGTCAAATTAGACTAAACATTGCTTCCTGTAATTATCTGGTATTACAAATAACAAAACATATCCAACAACAATTATCGAAGAATGGTTTCCTTTTGATGCATTCTATCCTTAAAGTCATATTAGACACGTACAAGACCCTGAACACAAACAACTACAGAAAGAGGCACAACATAAGGGTCGTCCTCAAACCTGTTAAGTATGCTTTTTCAAGTTTCAACAACATAAAATGATTCATTCGTCTTTTTAACCCCATCATTAAGCTAGCTGTCGCCAAAGATTATTAAGATAGCTTTTTTTTTAACGAGGATCAAGGGAGTACACCAAAATAAGATTCTTTCACCATGTTTACGAATTAAAAGCTTGTTATGCTGATTTTACTCAGCACCAATTTTGTGGACAGGCGCAGAGTATTTTAAACAATAGAAACATAACATCATACGACATGATGTGATTCTAACAACCAAGTTGTTACCAAAATTTTGAAATACAGTGACAATTCAACAAAAACAAGAAAAACAAAACTGAACTAAACGAGCATACAGCAATGATATATGCACCTCAGCAACTTCACTCAACTCAGTAGCATCTTAATGCTGAACATTTTGCATCAAGCATTAACCTTTCTTTCACCACATAGGCACCCACAAACATTGCAGCAATTCCAGTAGATTAACAAGAAATTTAATTACTTTTCAAGAATCTCATTCCATGACACATTAAAAGTCATACAGTTGTAAAGAAAAAGGAACAGAACCTGAAACTTGTTGACAGCAGATCTATCACGATACAGAAGCACTCGCATGCATTTCTCCAGTAATGCAACACCTTCTTCAAAAGTCAAGTTTTCATGCCATTCAGCACGAAGTATGGGCTGTGCCATGTGATTTCCAAATCCAGTTGCTATATGATTCTCCTCAAAGTTTACTCCTATCATAGTAACCTGCAACACAATTGGCCCATATCTATAAAATGCACATAGCTTTTCACCCTCCTATTTTGAGGTTTAAAAACAGAAAAGAAAACAACTTATGTAACTTATGCCTTACCATGCCAAGAAATTTCTGTCCTTTTTTCACACCACCAAGAATAAGTGTATTCCAAAGCGGGTCAAACTTGTTACGCCTATTATACATAACTCGGGTCAAATAGCTGTGTATCTCTTTAGGCCCCAAAGAGTTTCCGTCATCCCACATATGGTCATTCAGGCTGCAGTTATTAAACAGCATAGACCAACGTTTAAACAACATAATAGAAAATACAGCAACAATACAGGCAAAAAAGAAAATATATATTCTTGCCTCGAAAAACACAATCTAAAACTTACACTTGCTCATCGAGATAACGCATAATCTCCTGAAAATCACTTATTTCCCCACTAGCACCGATAAGAGAATGCTTCCCAACAGGTTTAATTCTCTCCACGCTCTTGTATCGCAGCGTGGACCCATAAGAACCTATCAATTATCGATGTCACAAATTATATCAACACCATGACTTATTATAGTACTTTTAAGCAATTGTTTCTAAAGGGTTCGATTATAAGGTATAAATAAGCCCAAAGATCACCTGTTTTCCCCTATTAACCATAAGCACGTCCACAGGCGAGAATAAAAAACTTAACACACATAGACTATAACAAGAAAACGGGTATCAGAGAAACTAACCTCCCATATCAGCAGCCATCAAAATCCCATCTTTATATTTCAGAGCAACAACAGATGATCCAGTCACATATGGGTACCTACATAGATACAGCAGCAAATCCACTAAAAAACTAAACTGCTAAAACCCTAAAAAGTCTCTATTTTACAGCAAAAAAATCCAAATGTACATCGAGAGATAAGGAGAGAGATTTAAGGGTGGCATACTGGGTTCTTTGAATGCCAGATTCGGAGCTCAAAAGGCTGTGCTGTTTGGTTTCAGAATTAGACTCCATTGATTAAAACTGTGTTAAAAAAAAAAAAATCAACAAAAACAACAGCAAAAAGAATTATTAGCAAAAACCCATTACAAGTTGGAGATAATTACTGCGTTTCAGGAGTAAAGACTTACACTTTAGTTTCGATCGAGAGAGAAGATAGAGCAATTAAGGGCCTGTGATCTATACGGTGAAAGAAAATACAAGCCTTTTTTTTTCATATATAAGACTTTAATTTTTGCACAAGAAAAGAAAACTCGCTCTCTTTTCTTTTCTTTTAAATAATAATAATAAATCCCAAAGAAGATTTCGAAACTCTCTCTAGGGGCCCAAGTAGCTTAGTTCAAAGGTTGAAATTTTGGGCTACCTTGGGCCCACGGCCTTTTATATAAGATTTGAACAAGGTTTAAATTATTTTCTAGTGTTTGTTTCGATGGAATTTTTTTTTTTCCTCTAAAAAATATGTTACTTTTAAGTGTTTCGCTATTTTCATAAAAACTTTTTCCTCCTTCTTTCAGCACCTAATAACACTAACTAAAAAACAGTATTAGCTTTAAAAGATCTGAATTAAACTTTGACATGGAACGAGAAACTTAATTTATTTATTTTTTAAAAAAACATTGGTTACTTTAAATGCATCTTCGTCTGTTCCATTGTCTCTAATGTAAACAGAAAAAACATCGGAACAATTGACGAATCGTGTAGAAGATATTAATTATTAGAGTTAGAGGCAATTAATTAAAATACAATATTAATTACTCAAAGCTATTACTTGTCTTGCTTTAATAAATTTAAGGGAATAAATAAATCTAGTGGAAGGTGACTTCTTTTTAAACACTTACGTTGATTTATCTAGAAATATAATAATTGTCTTTCGTATTGCTAGCTATAGTTTTTTTTTTTTTTTTTTTTGCACATTAATAATATATCTCCAATGTTGCTTGCTAGTGTTAATCAAAGGTGTTAACCTTATTACAAATTATAGCAACTTAACCCCTATGAGCTGGAGGTTGCTATAATTTAGCAGCAACAACATAAATTATTGCAACCTCCAAGTCATAGGTTTGCACTTTGCTTTAATTACAATAACAAAAACATTTTATTTTGCTTTGCTTGTGTTTATTTATTTTCACTATTCAAGGCTTATGGATTTACTTAAATCTTTTTTTAAAGCCTATTATTACAAAAAGTCTACTGGTCACACGTACTTTTCACTCGAGGCGTGAAAGCCACGAGCTAAAAGTACCATAACTAGTTTAATTACCTCTCCATCTCTCTTAGTTCCTGTTATTTTGTACGTTTACTTTGTTTCCACCAACATCTCATAGCTAGTTCTAAGTTCTAAAACTACTTAAAAGGACGATGATAAACTAAAAGTATCCTTTAGTTTCTCTTTTTTGCATGAGCTGGTCACATCGGTTGCAATCATCCATTCTCAATATATATATATATATGAAAGGGAAATGGTGCGTTTTACCCTCGTTTCAGTCTACTTGAATCTAAAATCTAAAACACTTTGGCACCAACCAAAGGCTATTTGATAAATTCTCTCTCTAAACTTAGTGTGGTCAATTTATACAACATTTCATGTGGAGGCTACGATTCAATGTCTAGACTTGATACTATAAATTTTGATGCGGAGTAAACAAGTCGTGTTTCACAACCGGCCAAAATCGACATGGATTTGCTTGATGATTTTCTTGCACTGAAATGAAGTTCTTGTACCTAGTCATCTACAGTTGGCGAAGACTGCCTCAAAGTAGGGCTGACGCTGCCGCTTCTGGTCATTTTTAGTGCATCCAGAGCCTTTTGTATCTCCATATTCATTGCACTGTCCACACTGCCTGATGATATCTTCTTATGTGATTTCTGCAAGTGAAGCTTAAGGGAGCTGCTGCTCAGACCGGCATTCTTCCCACAGATGGGACAAACTTTCATTTCTGGCTTCCGCCTTTGCCATTCCATGGAAACCTTCCCATGCAGTCGCTGGTCAAGATCCAATAGAACTCTTGCGAAACCATCATTAGGCTGAGCTCGGCGATGAACTTGTTTTAGAGTATTCCATGCTTCTAATAGAGTGAATTTCCTGCATCAAGGAGAACAAGCTCAACACACACAACTTATGATGTAGCAGTTTATCCACAGTGCAGAAATTCAATATCAGCATGTGTGCTGATAGAGCTTCAATTGTGCAATTTTTTTACCCCATGAAAAGCTTGCGATTTTCACTTACTTCCTGACCATTAAATAAGCAAGAACCAATGTGGCACTCCTACTTCTCCCTTCAAAGCAATGAACTAGAACCCTTCCACCCACTGACTCAACATGATCAATAAAATCAGACGCTTCTTCAAAGATACCGCTGATATTTGAATCCTCATCGTCACTTATCTGTTCAAGTAGAAAGTAATGTTATGAATATAGACACGTTCCAAATATATGCTGGAAAATGAAAAAAGATGACAAGCTCAAGATTGTATGATCAATAATGCTAAAGATTGTTTTCTGTACGGAGATCAACATATGAAAATTTGGCTATTAAAAATATCAATAAAATCATCTCTAAACCTTACGATCATAATCTGCTGCAATTTTGTGAGAAGACAGGAAAAAAAAATACTTTGTGGAGCAAAATAGATGGTTTTCTAAAAAGTAACAATTTTTTTCAAGAGAGGAGCACATATGAAGCTCGATCCATTGTTATAGTTGCAAACTAAGGAAGTCACGAGACCACTACAACTATGACTACTTCTATCCTAATAAATTGTGCCTTTTAATAGAGGGACTTTAACACATTGATCCAACATTAGTCATAGCTATACCAAAAATAAAATAAAAAGCAGAGCATTGTCCCCAGAAGTATGGAACTATTGCTAATGGAGAAGAAAATCTCACTTACAGAAAAATTTTTGTACTGAAATAGATCTGGGTGTTGTGACTCTGATTGCCCAATTTCATTTGCACACAAACACAAAATATGTGTAATTCCTAGATGTTGCAAAGTATACACCGATCTTGCAGCCAGGGCGCCACCAATAAACAGGCTATTTGTGATTGATGATGGTTTCTCTGTGTTTGCAGCTTCAGAGATCAATGATATCCTCTCAAGAATGTGCTCCAATCTTACCTGTAAGTTCAAATGAATAACATGGAAGAATCCTAAAATAAAGAAAATAAATCATTCTGTGGAACAGTCTTCTATATTAGTAAAAGATTAACAAAAAAATCCACTTCATCTTAGACATGCAACCCAAACATTGCATGGATCTTACCTTCAACTCATATGCATCCACAACACAGTTACTATCACTGCCCTCAAAAAACCCTGTATTGAAATTGTTCTCCTGACAGAGTTTGATAGCATCAGTTCTCAGCATTTCATTCCATTGTTCAAGTTCTTTATTTGATTCCGTATCAACCTGAGCATATAGTGATGCATGTCAAACAATAAGATGTTAGATCAAAGAAAAACAACGTCCTTATTTGCTTCCCCTTACTCATAGCAGTTACTACATTTTTTCACCATTATCAAAGGCCTGCTTATTTTGCTTGCTAATTAGCACAGGGATATGGCATCCTTCTCTACATTTCTCACATACAGTTTCTAGTAAACTAAGATAATTAAAGAGTAACTCCTGAATAATCAAGCCATTAAACAGTTCCCCTTGCCAAATGACCTTCTCTTCCAATTGAGTTTCAGAGTTCATGAAGTTTAATTATACTTAAAAGAATGAGGCAATACATGCTACTGATCAACATGGAAATTAAGAAGTCAAAATATTGATATCTATTCTCTTTTGATCCTTAATACATGTGTTTTTTTAGGTTTTTTCCTCCTCACTTTAAAGGGGGCAATTTTGCAGAAGATTATTAGAAGTACGATGCCTCGTTGCAATAATTATTTCTTCTTAAAACTACATAGGAGGAAATAACCTGTAGAGCATGAGGAAATTATTTCTCATGCAATTGATGATTTAAAAATTTTGGACATTTTGCCTCTTGCATTCCTAAATCACGTCTCTACACTGTTGTCACTGTGCCACTCTTGTGCTATATATGCAGCATGTCACAAGAACTAGCTACTGATTAGCAAGTAAAATGAGAACTTAACCAGTCCACTTTTTCAGTTATGAAAGTATGTCAAAGATAGGACAATCAAGTATAGAATTGGGGTTGGGGGGGGGGGCCGGTGTGGGGAAGACATTTTTGGAACCAAGATTTTGCTTCATGACCAGTTGGATTCCGAGTGATCATCTCTAAGCACCATAACCAGCGATCTATGTCTAGTAAGCATATGATTTTCAAATCCATGTTAACTGAGATTCTAACCTTGGCAAATTTATGAATGTCTCGGAGCTTCGTTGTCAGACGCAGGCAACGAAGGGGCTCTCCACTCCCCTTGGAAAACTTTCCGTGCCAGCTTTCTCTTGACATGGGAGAACTAGAATCTAAGGTCTCTTTATTTCCTGATGACCTTGGAGTTTGAGCCATTCTCTGCACATCCGAATCGCTAATATCTGGATGGTTATCATTAAGAAAGCGTTCCTTACTTGGTGGAGAAGGACAATGAACAACCCCATGTGAAGGTGACTCAGGGACCACCAAATCATCTCTGTCACAGTCTGCTGATGTTGTTTTATTTGAGATGTTCAAAAAAACTCGTAACAAGCTCTCTAGTTTTTGGTGAAGAGTGAGAAGAAATATATGGAAACCTTGTAGATCCCTGACAGCAGCACGAAACCCACCACGAAATTCCTGAACAACTGAAGTCATTTCTGTTACTCGTATATCAGTAAAGTCAGTGCCTTCCAATGGAGGAGCTCCTAATTTTCCTCCTGTTATTTCGCATAACAAATTAGAGGAGTAATCGAAACTGTTGAGAAGTAACTCTATCAATTTAGGATAATTTGCTTGGTCATTTGCACGTTTTCCAGCAGGAGGCCGACGAGGAACACCAGAATCAATAGCCACGGCATGAGAAATGAGGAGATCAGAAAACGACGATTCTCCTGATTTTT